TGTAATCGCTGCCAAAAGTGCTTCAACAAAGTACTGAGTAAAGGGTCTGAATACTTATGTAAATGTAATATTTCCGTTTTTTTATTTTTAATAAATTTGAAAGAAAATTGAAAACCAGTTTTTGCTTTGTCATTATGGGGTATTGTGTGTAGATTGATGAGGGGGGAAAAAACAATTTAATCCATTTTAGAATAAGGTTGAAAAAGTCAAGGGGTCTGAATACTTTTCGAATGCACTGTATACACACACACACACACACATATACACACACGCGCACATGCACGCATACACCATGTCTGTAATTTTGGCCTTGGAAGCTCTGACTAGGGAATGGGAGTGGAAAGTGGCTGTGTGTAGACCTGTTAGTTCCGCTGGCCTTACTGAACAGACCCCCTTTTAATGTGAGCGTGTTTGTAGCCATGCAAAAACCTAGATATGGTTTTAAGTTAACCAAACAAATGAACAGGTTGGTGAAGTATCCTTGAAATGTGCATCCGCATTGCAAGTCAACCTTACACCAAGCTACTGAAAAAGTCCCTTTTGAGAAAGACTGCCGCAGCTCTCATAATTCCAATGGCACAAGCTCCTTTTCTTTAATGCTAGTCCACTAAGGCTGCATCACCAGAGAGCTGCCTAGTGTGTTTACAGACACCAGAGAGGGTTTCTCTGGAAACAAACACATGCCACCGCCGTGTAATGCAGACAAGACCCAGCTGAAAGATTGACCAACAAGCTCACAAAGTGGAAATCGGAGGCCTATTCTTTTAAGGATAATTCTAAAGTATAATTGTTATTTTAAGTATAATTGCCTATTGGCTACCTCTTATTGTTCGTCGTTTACACCGACAGTATGTCCACATGTTGGATGGGTATTTTATCTCAATCTTTTCCACAAAGTCGATCCTTTCCACAAGATCGCTCTTCAGTCCTACCTCCCATTCCCCAACTAGCATGTGGCTACGCCATATCACAGCATACAAGAAACATCCACATTACACACACCTTTTATACTACACAGATACGCCCTCATTCCAGACATTAGCTGTTCAGGAGCCATTTTATATGAAGAAAGAGTGCTGATTGTTTTGGCAGCTCTTTGGGTGGTCCTTTCTGTAAACATTGTTGCAACAGTGAACTTTTACTCATTCACTCTATAGTCTAAACTGGTATTCTACTACTTGAAAACTCAAGTACCATGGATTTATTTTTATCTCTAATTGTCTTACCCATTTGTTATTGAGATATTTAAAAGATGAATTCTCATCAGAATGTTTTGAATCCAACTTCCTTTAAATATGAAAAGGCCTCTCACTTTTTAAGACTCTTGCAAGCAATATAAATATCATTTTGTATGACCTGTGGGAGTTGCTAGGCAGATCGGTCAGTAGTCACTAAAAATAAAGTAGTAAATTATGTAAAAGACAGTCATTTCAACTTTTGCGGTACCTTTGTATAATGGCATGTTTTGAGCAACAGTAGACATCTGAAGCTCTGCAGGCACTTGTACTGGAAACTAAACTAACCTCCCACACAGTTGGGTCACATTTTTGTGTCTGGTAAATCTATCTCACCTTGTTGATTAATGGACATTTAGGCATGGCAACAGAAGATGACAAACAGCCCTTCACTGTCTGTTGATGGTATATGAACTGTAACTCAGTAAAATCGTTGAAATTGTTGCATGTTGCGTTTTTATATTTTTGTTCAGTATATATTGGAAGAGATTTAGCCTTGTTTGATTCCAATGTAGAAAAACAAGCAACAAATCCATGTTGATTTCTAGATGTTTATTAGTTATTCATTTGAAGCCAAACCCGATGGGGCCCAGATGTTTGGAACATTGTATAATTAAAGCAGGAAATCCACACAAGTGAAGTTGATTCCATTGTCTGATAGAAGTGTTTAGGGTATTCCATTGTCTGATAGAAGTGTTTAGGGTATTCCATTGTCTGATAGAAGTGTTTAGGGTATTCCATTGTCTGATAGAAGTGTTTAGGGTATTCCATTGTCTGATAGAAGTGTTTAGGGTATTCCATTGTCTGATAGAAGTGTTTAGGGTATTCCATTGTCTGATAGAAGTGTTTAGGGTATTCCATTGTCTGATAGAAGTGTTTAGGGTATTCCATTGTCTGATAGAAGTGTTTAGGGTATTCCATGGACCCCATTGTCTGATAGAAGTGTTTAGGGTATTCCATGGACCCCATTGTCTGATAGAAGTGTTTAGGGTATTCCATGGACCCCATTGTCTGATAGAAGTGTTTAGGGTATTCCATTGTCTGATAGAAGTGTTTAGGGTATTCCATGGACCCCATTGTCTGATAGAAGTGTTTAGGGTATTCCATGGACCCCATTGTCTGATAGAAGTGTTTAGGGTATTCCATGGACCCCATTGTCTGATAGAAGTGTTTAGGGTATTCCATGGACCCATGGCACGAGAGTCTCAGAGTAGGAGTGCTGATCTAGGATCAGTTTAGCCATTTAGATACAAATGAATAAGAGGAGGTTCTTTGTGAATATGGGCCCAGGTCTTTCACATTCAACCTTTTGAGGTCAGTAGTAATATGGATGAATAGTGAGGTGCAGTAGGTCAGTAGTAATATGGATGAATAGTGAGATGCAGTAGGTCAGTAGTAACAGGGATGAATAGTGAGGTGCAGTAGGTCAGTAGTAATATGGATGAATAGTGAGATGCAGTAGGTCAGTAGTAACAGGGATGAATAGTGAGGTGCAGTAGGTCAGTAGTAATATGGATGAATAGTGAGATGCAGTAGGTCAGTAGTAATATGGATGAATAGTGAGGTGCAGTAGGTCAGTAGTAATATGGATGAATAGTGAGATGCAGTAGGTCAGTAGTAACAGGGATGAATAGTGAGGTGCAGTAGGTCAGTAGTAATATGGATGAATAGTGAGGTGCAGTAGGTCAGTAGTAATATGGATGAATAGTGAGGTGCAGTAGGTCAGTAGTAATATGGATGAATAGTGAGGTGCAGTAGGTCAGTAGTAATATGGATGAATAGTGAGGTGCAGTAGGTCAGTAGTAATATGGATGAATAGTGAGATGCAGTAGGTCAGTAGTAATATGGAGGAATAGTGAGGTGCAGTAGGTCAGTAGTAATATGGATGAATAGTGAGGTGCAGTAGGTCAGTAGTAATATGGATGAATAGTGAGGTGCAGTAGGTCAGTAGTAATATGGATGAATAGTGAGGTGCAGTAGGTCAGTAGTAATATGGAGAAATAGTGAGGTGCAGTAGGTCAGTAGTAATATGGAGGAATAGTGAGGTGCAGTAGGTCAGTAGTAATATGGATGAATAGTGAGGTGCAGTAGGTCAGTAGTAATATGGATGAATAGTGAGGTGCAGTAGGTCAGTAGTAATATGGATGAATAGTGAGGTGCAGTAGGTCAGTAGTAATATGGATGAATAGTGAGGTGCAGTAGGTCAGTAGTAATATGGATGAATAGTGAGGTGCAGTAGGTCAGTAGTAATATGGATATGTTTTGGTGTGTTCCTCCAGGCGGGCACGGTGCGAGACTCCATGGCCAAGTCCCTGTACAGCGCACTGTTTGACTGGATCGTGTTCCGGATCAACCACGCGCTGCTCAACAACCGGGACTTGGAAGAGAGCGCCAAGGTAAGACCAACGTGACTGCTGTCATGCTTTGTTATGACATGCTCATGTCTGCTTATAACATAACTATGTCATGCGCTGATCACATGCTCACCTCTCCACTTCATTAAGATTAAGATCACTTTATTGGTCGATTTCAAGGTCCAACCAAAATGTTACTTCTGCTTTTAACCCAACCCCTCCGAAAGACACACATACATACATACAGTGGTGGAAAAAGTACCCAATCGTCCTACTTGAGTAAAAGTAAAGATACCTTAATAGAAAATGACTCAAAGTGAAAGTGAAAGTGAAAGTCGCCCAGTGAAATACTACTTGAGTAAAAGTCTAAAAGTATTTGGTTTTAAATATACTTAAGTATCAAAAGTACAAGTATAAATAATTTCACATTCCTTATATTAAGCAAAACAGACGGCACGATTTTCTTGTTTTTTAAATGTATGGATAGCCAGGGCCACATTCCAACACTCAGACATCATTTACAAAGGAAGCATTTGTGTTTAGTGAGTCCGCCAGATCAGAGGCAGTAGGGATGACCAGGGATGTTCTCTTAATAAGTGTGTGAATTGGACCATTTTCCTGTCCTGCTAAGCATTCAAAATGTAACGTGTACTTTTGGGTGTCAGGGAAAATGTATGGAGTAAAAAGTACATTATTTTCTTTAGGAATGTGGTGAAGTAAAAGTAAAAGTTGTCAAAAATGTAAATAGTAAAGTACAAGATACCTCCAAAAAATGACTTAAGTAGTACTTTTAAATATTTGTACTAAAGTACTTTACGCCACTGCATACATATACAGGTTTTGGAGAGGTGTGTTGGGCTGCCACACTGGGCGCCCGGGGAGCTGTTGTTTGGGCGGTTAAGTGCCTTGCTCAAGGGCACAACGTTTACCCTCCGTTTGCCAGCTTACCTCCTGCCAGATTGTTTTCCGTCGAACCCGGGATTCGAACTGGCAATCCTCCAGTTGCTGGCTCACCTCTCTAACCACTAGGCTACCTGCCGCTCACCTCTTCACCCAGAATAACTGTGTCCACGGTCATAGTTGAAGCACTGGATACACACAGGCTTTATACTTCTGTTACAGGTGTTCAAATAGAGCATGAGCACGTTGGCAGAGACATGCTGCGATAAGACAATGCTTTTTTATTGATTTAATAAATCATGGTATGAACCACCTTCTGGAAACAGTGACATCAGTGGTTTTGTTTGAATGGCTTTGGTTGAGCTTGTTTGCCATTTATATGGCTAAGGATCTTTGGTAACTTTCTCAGTAAGACTTTCACCAATATGGCCTTCATATTTAATCGTTTTTTAATCAAAACGCATATCGTCAATTGAGATTTCACCCTCATGTATCCCTCACAGATCTTTTCCATCGGAGTGCTGGACATCTTTGGCTTTGAGGACTACGAAAACAACAGCTTTGAGCAGTTCTGTATCAACTTCGCCAACGAGAGGCTCCAACACTACTTCAATCAGCACATCTTTAAGCTTGAGCAGGTAAGGCATTTGACATTCCTGCACCCTTTCAGTACTAAATGTGCTTATGCACAATGCACTTACATGGAAGACTACTATACAGTAGTCCTTTAAAGACGCAGGCAGGCTCCTCCAGTGGGTTATGCAATAGGGTTTATTATGGGGCTGACCACCACATGACTCACCTCTTCAACCCTCTGACTACTGATTATGATGGATGGATGTTACCTCCTCAACCCTCATTATGATGGATGTATGTTACCTCCTCAAACCTCATTATGATGGATGTATGTTACCTCCTCAACCCTCATTATGATGGATGTATGTTACCTCCTCAACCCTCATTATGATCGATGTATGTTACCTCCTCAACCCTCATTATGATGGATGGATGTTACCCCCTCAACCCTCATTATGATGGATGTATGTTACCTCCTCAACCCTCATTAGGATGGATGTATGTTACCTCCTCAACCCTCATTATGATGGATGTATGTTACCACCTCAACCCTCATTATGATGGATGTATGTTACCTCCTCAACCCTCATTATGATGGATGGATGTTACCTCCTCAACCCTCATTATGATGGATGTATGTTACCTCCTCCACCCTCATTATGATGGATGTATGTTACCTCCTCAACCCTCATTATGATGGATGTACAGTGAGGGAAAAAAGTATTTGATCCCCTGCTGATTTTGTATGTTTTCCCACTGACAAAGAAATGATCAGTCTATAATTTTAATGGTAGGTTTATTTGAACAGTGAGAGACAGAATAACAACAACAAAATCCAGAAAAACGCATGTCAAAAATGTTATAAATTGATTTGCATTTTAATGAGGGAAATAAGTATTTGACCCCCTCTCAATCAGAAAGATTTCTGGCTCCCAGGTGTCTTTTATACAGGTAACGAGCTGAGATTAGGAGCGCACTCTTAAAGGGAGTGCTCCTAATCTCAGTTTGTTACCTGTATAAAAGACACCTGTCCACAGAAGCAATCAATCAATCAGATTCCAAACTCTCCACCATGGCCAAGACCAAAGAGCTCTCCAAGGATGTCAGGGACAAGATTGTAGACCTACACAAGGCTGGAATGGGCTACAAGACCACCGCCAAGCAGCTTGGTGAGAAGGTGACAACAGTTGGTGCGATTATTCGCACATGGAAGAAACACAAAAGAACTGTCAATCTCCCTAGGCCTGGGGCGCCATGCAAGATCTCACCTCGTGGAGTTGCAATGATCATGAGAACGGTGAGGAATCAGCCCAGAACTACACAGGAGGATCTTGTCAATGATCTCAAGGACCATAGTCACCAAGAAAGCAATTGGTTAACACACTACGCTGTGAAGGACTGAAATCCTGCAGCGCCCGCAAGGTCCCCCTGCTCAAGAAAGCACATATACAGGCCCGTCTGAAGTTTGCCAATGAACATCTGAATGATTCAGAGGAGAACTGGGTGAAAGTGTTGTGGTCAGATGAGACCAAAATCGAGCTCTTTGCCATCAACTCAACTCGCCGTGTTTGGAAGAGGAGGAATGCTGCCTATGACCCCAAGAACACCATCGCCACCGTCAAACATGGAGGTGGAAACATTATGCTTTGGGGGTGTTTTTCTGCTAAGGGGACAGGACAACTTCACCGCATCAAAGGGATGATGGACGGGGCCATGTACCGTCAAATCTTGGGTGAGAACCTCCTTCCCTCAGCCAGGGCATTGAAAATGGGTCGTGGATGGGTATTCCAGCATGACAATGACCCAAAACACACGGCCAAGGCAACAAAGGAGTGGCTCAAGAAGAAGCACATTAAGGTCCTGGAGTGGCCTAGCCCTCCTGAGATGTGTGCAAACCTGGTGGCCAACTACAAGAAACGTCTGACCTCTGTGATTGCCAACAAGGATTTTGCCACCAAGTACTAAGTCATGTTTTGCAGAGGGGTCAAATAATTATTTCCCTCATTAAAATGCAAATCAATTTATAACATTTTTGACATGAGTTTTTCTGGATTTTTTTATAAAATGGGTGGTCCTCTGTAGCTCAGCTGGTAGAGCACGGCGCTTGTGGTTTCGATCCCCGGGACCACCCATACACAAAAATGTATGCACGCATGACTGTAAGTCGCTTTGGATAAAGTGTCTGCTAAATGGCATTGTTATAATAAACCTACCATTACAATTATAGACTGATCATTTCTTTGTCAGTGGGCAAACGTACAAAATCAGCAGGGGATCAAATACTTTTTTCCCCTCACTGTATGTTACCTCCTCAACCCTCATTATGATGGATGTGTGTTACCTCCTCAACTCTCATTATGATGGATGGATGTTACCTCCTCAACCCTCATTATGATGGATGGATGTTACCTCCTCAACCCTCATTATGATGGATGTGTGTTACCTCCTCAACCCTCATTATGATGGATGTGTGTTACCTCCTCAACCCTCATTATGATGGATGTCTGTTACCTCCTCAACCCTCATTATGATGGATGTATGTTACCTCCTCAACCCTCATTATGATGGATGTATGTTACCTCCTCAACCCTCATTATGATGGATGTGCATGACCTCCTCAATCCTCATTATGATGGATGTGTGTTGGTGTTAACTGACTGGATTGGAGAAAAAGGTTGTTTCGGTCATGATCAGCTTTGTAGGTAAACATCATGTTTAACCACGATTGACTGAGTCACTTGTCCTTTAGTACTTTTAGGCTGCGTTAAGACAGGCAGCCCAATTCTGATATTTTTTTCCACTAATTGGTCTTTTGACCAATGACATCAGATCTTTTTCAAAGCTGATCTGATTGGTCAAAAGACCAATTAGTGAAAAAATATCATAATTTGGCTGCCTGTCTAAACGCAGCCTTAGTGAGTACAACTGAAACTGATTGACTGAATCACTTGTCCTTTAGGACTCTTAGTGAGTACAACTGAAACTGATTGGAGAGTTCCTTTTACAGTGCCATATCGGCAATGACACATACTGTATTTGCTGAAGGAGGCCTCCTGTACAAAGGCACCCATCCATAAAGCCACTGCCTTCATTAACCTCCATGTTAAAAATTAGCCATGGCTTTTGAACATGTACAGCCCTCACTCAACTTCTAAGAGGGTTTGTTTGCTTCATGCTTTGGTAAGGTTGGGCCATTGCATCGTGCTACTAATAAGTCCGATTTTGTGGGATTTCCTATGTTAAGATGTACTGTTCCTCAACAGAACAAATGGCTTATGAAATGAATTGTCATAGAAGACCACTGAAATGAAGTGTTAGAACTCAATCAAGACAATACTCCGATATAGTTCTGAACTGTTAGAGCTCAATCAAGACAATACTCCGATATAGTTCTGAAGTGTTAGAACTCAATCAAGACTATACTCTGGTATAGTTCTGAACTCAATACTCAGAATTTACTAAAGCAACCATGTGCTGCTTGTTATAAGCAGGCAGCCATTTTTCTGGTGGTTATAAATGTCCTTATCCGCTACCGTTTCTGGTGGTTATAAATGTCCTTATCCGCTACCGTTTCTGGTGGTTATAAATGTCCTTATCCGCTACCGTTTCTGGTGGTTATAAATGTCCTTATCCGCTACCGTTTCTGGTGGTTATAAATGTCCTTATCCACTACCGTTTCTGGTGGTTATAAATGTCCTTATCCACTACCGTTTCTGGTGGTTATAAATGTCCTTATCCACTACCGTTTCTGGTGGTTATAAATGTCCTTATCCACTACCGTTTCTGGTGGTTATAAATGTCCTTATCCACTACATTTCTTTTTGATAATTTTGAGCTTATAAATTAAAAATTACAAAATAATCCCAGGCATGCACATTCTCGTAGAGGCATTGCTATAAGAGAGAGGTGTGTGTGTGTGGCCTGAAATCCTCCAGAGTGCGGGTGGAGTGTGTCATTCAGCAAGCTGCAGCGTCTCTCTCCCCAGTGACTGTCATATCAGCAGTGTTGGCAAACCATCAGACGTCTAAACCACTGCTGGCAACGTAGAGGAGCACAGTGTTTATGGTCCATTCACACTCAATGAACAGCATGGTGGCCTACTGTACTGTACACAGCCAGCTAGCAGGGTCACAGTCTTCTTTCTGCTATTAGCTAACAACTATTGTGTTGATAATCATGTCTCGTGTTACGCTGTGCTGAAGTTGTCATCGTCCATAGTGTATACAGAGCATGGGCCTTGATGTTTATACTGACTGAACTGTGGCTGATCCAAGTCATGTATAGCATCAACATGCCCTCAAAGTCACTGATTTATGATTTGACTAGAAAATGTCTCCATATTGTGTGATCCTGTAAGTCACACTAAAAGGCTCTCTGTGCAGACAGGCATGTTCAGACCCTGTTATAGTGAGAACACGCCAGCCCATCGTCAATGTGTGACTGTGTTGACATCCAAGAATCGGGCTGTCAATGTGACCTGCTTGAGTAGCACAAGGATCATCGATTCTAATGCTTTCCCTTTTCCAAGCACTCACCATAGTTGTCCAGGCATGTTTTGCCCAGTGCTTTCCTTGACAGGAAGGTCCCATTGCAGACGTCCAAGTCCTCTGGGTAACAGAAAATAAGGACTGGGTTATTTGCCATGGTTTGGAGGCCAGGGCAGCCATGCTGCAGAACCGTTTTAGCCGTGCTCAAGGGTGCAACGTCAGGAGAAGGCAAGTTATTTGTGCTCATGGGAAATTGAATAAAGCAGGGGTTTATTTGAATATCTGGATTGTATTGTTGTGATAGCATGACTAACCTGCACTAGGGAAGGAAATCCACTAGAAATAGTTGTAGGAAACCAAAGTGTTGGAGGCTACATTGGGAAAGCCTAGTGGTGTCCCTTACAGACTAGAGATCAACATGGAGACAATATCAAGGTGGCATCAAGGAGCTTTTTTCCCACGTAATTACTCTGTCTAAAGAGAAATTCTGCTAGCCTGTATTTGCATGTTGCCCCTCAGTGAAAGGAAGTGTGTGGGTGTGTGTGACGGAACAAGCGACAGGGGGGGGCAAAGTTGACAGACGTCCAGGTTGGCTCATCTCCAGCTACGTCTGGCAGGCATGACATCACCATCATAAATCACTACACATGGAGGGATTCTTGGAATACTTAGACTCCTCACACACTTGTATACACACACACACACACACACACACTCACACACACACACACTCACACACACACTCACACACACAGACATGCACACAGATACGCACAGACACGGACATGCACACACAAGAGCTTACACACACACACGAGCGCTCATTATACAGTTAATGGTATGTGGTTCGGTATGTGTTTTTACCTAACCATTTATAGAGATCTTGTAAATGTAGTTTTATGGTTTTTCCATGTGCTACCGGGGTTCGTTCATGTTGTTGGCCAGATCGAGGCTCACTGAAGGAGACGTGACGGAGTCAAGAGAGGGAAGCAGATTAGAGACGGAGGTTAACTGACAAACAGCAGATTGAAGACGGTCCACAATAGAGACCGAGGTTAACAGACAAACAGCTGATTTAAGACGGTCCACAATAGAGACCGAGGTTAACAGACAAACAGCTGATTTAAGACGGTCCACAATAGAGACCGAGGTTAACAGACAAACAGCAGATTTAAGATGGTCCACAATAGAGACCGAGGTTAACAGACAAACAGCAGATTTAAGACGGTCCACAATAGAGACCGAGGTTAACAGACAAACAGCAGATTTAAGACGGTCCACAATAGAGACCGAGGTTAACAGACAAACAGCAGATTTAAGACGGTCCACAATAGAGACCGAGGTTAACAGACAAACATAGCAGATGCTGTATGCACTATGGCATTGTGACACATCAGCCTGAGCCTACCATATCTGAAATATCCACTACATTTTATAGAACCTTGTACAGCGTTTGTGGTGTAAACACAATACATATATGTGGTCCCTTTTAGTCACAGATCTAGGATCAGGTCACCCTTCCCAAATGCCAAGAGTGTGCAAAGCTGTCATCAAGGCAAAGGGTGGCTATTTGAAGAATCTCAAATATAAAATATATTTTGATTGTTTAACACTTGTTTTGGTTACAACATGATTCCATATGTGTTATTTCATTTTTTTGATGTCTTCACTATTATTCTACAATGTAAAAATGTTTACAAATAAAGAAAAACCCTTGAATTAGTAGGTGTGTCCAAACTTTTGACTGGTAGTGTATATGCTCCCTTTTAGTCACAGATCTAGGATCAGGTCACCCTTCCCAAATTCTAACCATGAACACTGTCAGCTTGTACCAAGTACAATAATCATGGCGGGCAAATATTTTCATTTGAGCCTAGCATTGAAGGACTGGACCGTTGGTTCATTCCATTCTTCTACAGACTGGGATCATAAACCACCGTATTAGGTTATTGTTTTTGTGCCCATGCAGCGCACCAATGAGGTTTGTTCTCGTATTTCCCAGTCCTTATTTGCGAGGACAGTGGGATAACAGATTAACTGGTTTGTTCAGCTGACTTGTGTGACTTTTGGCTAAAAGAAAGGAGGGGGGGAAAAGGAGGGTGAAGGAGATTGATTTGATTAAACCCTCGCTGGGATTATAGTCCTTTATTGCGCCGTTCTTTTTCCCAGCGAGTCAAGGAGACGACGTGCAGGAGGGGAAAAACACTGCAAAATGCTAAGAATGCTTTTCACATTATTAAACCGCAAAGTGGTCCAGGCAGGCCCAGCCCAGCCCAGCCCAGCCTAGCCCAGCTCAGCCCAGCTCAGCCCAGCCCAGCCCAGCCCAGCCCAGCCCAGCCCAGCCCAGCTCAGCCCAGCTCTGCCCTGCCCAGCCCAGCCCAGCCCAGCCCAGCCCAGCCCAGCCCAGCACAGCACAGCTCAGCACAGGGAAAGGTTGTGCTGTGTTGTAGCACAACAGGAAAGCAACACTACTACTGGAACACTGTTGTTTTGTTTGTTCAGGCCCAGTGTCAAGGGTCAGTGGAGGCTTCTGAGGGGAGGACGGCCCATAATAATGGCTGGGACGGAGCGAATGGAATGGCATCAAACAAATAGAAACCATGTGTTTCGATGTATTTGATACCGTTCCACCAATTCGGCTCCAGACGTTACCAAGAGCCCGTCCTCCCCAATTAAGGTGCCACCAACCTCCAGTGCCAAGTGTGAAGAAACACCATACAGTTAGAGTACAAGTACATGTTTTTTAACCTGTCCTTTGGATGAAATGTGTGATGTGTGGGCTGTGAATGACGGTTATGTGATTGATGTTTGTCAGGGCAATCAGTTTCCCTTACTCCACCACCATATGCATAGTTTTCTGACTTTGCAGTTGTTGCAGACAACCCAAACCTCTGTAGAACAGCATATAAGAGAAAAGGGAGGTCCCATACAATGTTATGGGGCTCAGTGGTATTTGGTACAAATTGATAAGATTCTTACTATACTTACTTTGAGTGTTGAACCATAGCATTGTACATTAATAGTAAGATCACATCTTCATGTTTCTGTTGTTTGTTCATCCTGGAAACCCTAGACCTACTCCAATTCGCATACCGCCCCAACAGATCCACAGACGACGTAATCTCAATCGCACTCCACACTGCCCTTTCCCACCTGGACAAAAAGGAACACCTATGTGAGAATGCTGTTCATTGACTACAGCTCAGCGTTCAATTAATTAATCAAATAGCCACCCGGACTATTTGCATTGACACCTCCCCTTTTGTTTATTATCTATGCATAGTAACTTTACCCCTACCTACATGTACAAATTACCTCGACTAACCTGTACCCCCGCACATTGACTCGGTACCGGTACCCCCTGTATATAGCCTCATTATTGTTATTTTATGGCGTTAAGTTTTATTATTTTTTATTTTTTACTGTAGTTTATTTAGTAAATATTTTCTTAACTCTATTTTCTTAAAACTGCATTGTTGGTTAAGGGATTGTAAGTAAGCATTTCACGCTAAGGTCTACACCTGTTGTATTCGGCGCATGTGACAAATAAAATGTGATTTGATTTGTTTGTATAGGAGGAGTACAGGGCGGAGGGCATCAGCTGGCACAACATTGACTACGTCGACAACACAGGCTGCATCAACCTCATCAGCAAGAAACCCACAGCGCTGCTCCACCTGCTGGATGAAGAGTCCAAGTGAGTCCATCAGACCTCTCTCGCTCTCTCTTTCAGATTCCCTCTTGCTCTGTCAGACCTGGGTCAAAATACGATGCATGATTCCACTCCGTAAGACTGGCAAGGAAGTGACTGTGACTAGGATGATGTTATAGTGGAGAACAGTGATACTCTGTAATGGGAGATATTCAGGTCGCTTCATACTGCATACTCTATGAAGTCTTAAAATATACACAACCTGATATCCAAACAGTCCTCTTCTGATAACAGACAGTTTTAATAAGCATGTTTTAATTCATTCATGAGCATGGCTGAAATGGGACATTTTTGTTTCAGTACAACGTCCTCATCATTCCCTCTCCATGTGTTGTAACTAAACGCTCCTTCTTGATTTGGACACTGACGCACCGAATTCCTCCCACTTGAAATACCTGGAAATCGAGTCCCTGGCGCTCTGTGTTTGTCATAGCTCAAGTTCCCCTTAGCCTCCCCCTGACCCACTCTTCCTCTCCTCTTCCTGTAAGCTGTTGGTTTACTGTGAGCACTTCTGACAGGGGAACTGCTGTGCAGCGTCTCTAAAGGCTTGAGAGAAAGCAGGAGTTTATCGTCCTCCTCTGGCCCAACCACCTTCTCTCTATGGGGAGAGTTTGACTCTTAGGTGTAAATCTAGGATCAGCTCACCCTCCATTAATCCTTGCCTTAGCCATTAGAGGGGAAATATAAAACTGACCTTACATCAGTGTTCATGGGTGACTTCGTTCTATGGATGAAGATTCCAAGGAGGAGTTGTGGAAGTTGGAACCACCCATAACTCTTTGTGCTACTATATAATCAGAATCATTATTCTGTAGGGACTAGAAGAGGAGAGCGGGATGAATAGGTGTCTGTCTGTGTCCGTCTGTGTTTCTGTCTGTGTCCGTCTGTGTTTCTGTGTTGTGATCCTCTCTGAGACATGATGACATCACCCCCCCCCCCCCCCCCCCCCCCCCCGTCATCCTTGTCCCAGCTTCCCCCAGGCCTCTAACCAGACTCTGCTGGACAAGTTCAAGCGTCAGCATGAGGGCAACGGCTACATCGAGTTCCCCGCCGTCATGGAGCCCGCCTTCATCATCCGCCACTACGCCGGCAAGGTCAAATACGGGGTCAAGGTCAGTGTCTGCCTGTCTGGGTTCAACGAGAGCTTCATGTTTGTGTCATAGCGTCCTAGCTTAAATCATTCCATTGAATGGAAATGTCTGTAGGACCAACTACTGTTTACTTTGGCAGGAATCATATCAGAGCCAGCATGGTTCAGGTTAGCACGGTAGTGTTAAGGTTATAGGGGTCATCTCATATCTCTGTGGTAGTGTTTTCTTTTTGCGTGGGAGGTTGTAGTTCAAATCAGGCAAGGTGTTTCATGCATTTGGACATATAGTCTACTGTAGCTGACAGGCACAGACACACACACCCAGTAATGGGCTGTGAAGACTTACACATTCCTGTACAGGGGGATTTCTTCATCACTCTCTTGGCCCGGTTCCCTGCTGCAGAGTCCTATAACCCAGACCTCAGACTTGGCAACCAGGAATATTTCACACACTGTGCAGGTCTGGACAGTCGTCTTTAGCTAAACTTGTTTCTACCTCGTCTCCTGCGAACAACAAACGCTTCATTCTCTCTTGAATAACCTGTTAATTTCCATGGTATTTACTATTGTTGTTTTTGGATGGAACAGAGTCCAAGTAACACTTCACAGCTTGGTTGGAACCACATTGGCAATATATGAGGCATCAATCAATATAATTACACTGCGGAGAGGAGCATTAAGAAATGTTTTAATTAGAGGTGTTGCAATCCAGTTCAAACTGAGTGCATCCTCTATTACACGGCTTCTTTAGTGACATGGTTTTGGAAACCTCAGGAGTTCTTCTGCCATACCATACAATCTGTAGCTCAATTGGTAGAGCATGGCGCTTGTAACGCCAGGGTAGTGGGTTCGATCCCCGGGACCACCCATACGTTAAAAAAAATGTATGCACACATGACTGTAAGTCGCTTTGGATAAAAGCGTCTGCTAAATGGCATATTATTATATATTATACAAGAAGCTGTGTACCTGTTCCAATGAAAGTCTCACTAGAGAGGAAATTAAAAGCTGAAATATGTATTGAAGCTAAGCTGAGCTTATGTGTTTGTAAACTGAGGGTGAACTGAGTGCAATGCTTAGCCCTTCACTCTCTCTCTCTCTCTCACTCACTCACTCACTAACTCACTCACGTATTCCCACACAGGACTTCCGGGAGAAGAATACGGACCACATGCGTCCGGACATCGTGGCCCTGCTGAAGAGCAGTAAGAACGCCTTCATCTGTGGCCTGATGGGCATCGACCCCCCAGCCACCTTCCGCTGGGCCGTCCTCAGAGCTTACTTCAGGGCCATGGTGGCCTTCAGGGAGGCTGGGAAGAGACACGTACACAGGAAGAGTGGTGAGTGTGCTGCACACTGTAGACTTTTTTCCTGAGTCCTTTTCCCCCTTTAGGCTCCTGAGTCCTTTCCCCCCTTTAGGCTCCTGAGTCCTTTCCCCCCTTTAGGCTCCTGAGTCCTTTTCCCCCTTTAGGCTCCTGAGTCCTTTTCCCCCTTTAGGCTCCTGAGTCCTTTTCCCCCTTTAGGCTCCTGAGTCCTTTTCCCCCTTTAGGCTCCTGAGTCCTTTTCCCCCTTTAGGCTCCTGAGTCCTTTTCCCCCTTTAGGCTCCTGAGTCCTTTTCCCCCTTTAGGCTCCTGAGTCCTTTTCCCCCTTTAGGCTCCTGAGTCCTTTTCCCCATTTAGGCTCCTGAGTCCTTTTCCCCCTTTAGGCTCCTGAGTCCTTTTCCCCCTTTAGGCTCCTGAGTCCTTTTCCCCCTTTAGGCTCCTGAGTCCTTTTCCCCCTTTAGGCTCCTGAGTCCTTTTCCCCCTTTAGGCTCCTGAGTCCTTTTCCCCCTTTAGGCTCCTGAGTCCTTTTCCCCCTTTAGGCTCCTGAGTCCTTTTCCCCCTTTAGGCTCCTGAGTCCTTTTCCCCCTTTAGGCTCCTGAGTCCTTTTCCCCCTTTAGGCTCCTGAGTCCTTTTCCCCCTTTAGGCTCCTGAGTCCTTTTCCCCCTTTAGGCTCCTGAGTCCTTTTCCCCCTTTAGGCTCCTGAGTCCTTTCCCCCCTTTAGGCTCCTGAGTCCTTTTCCCCCCTTTAGGCTCCTGAGTCCTTTCCCCCTTTAGGCTCCTGAGTCCTTTTCCCCCTTTAGGCTCCTGAGTCCTTTTCCCCCTTTAGGCTCCTGAGTCCTTTTCCCCCCTTTAGGCTCCTGAGTCCTTTTCCCCCTTTAGGCTCCTGAGTCCTTTTCCCCCTTTAGGCTCCTGAGTCCTTTTCCCCCTTTAGGCTCCTGAGTCCTTTTCCCCCTTTAGGCTCCTGAGTCCTTTTCCCCCTTTAGGCTCCTGAGTCCTTTTCCCCCTTTAGGCTCCTGAGTCCTTTTCCCCTTTAGGCTCCTGAGTCCTTTTCCCCCTTTAGGCTCCTGAGTCCTTTTCCCCCTTTAGGCTCCTGAGTCCTTTTCCCCCTTTAGGCTCCTGAGTCCTTTTCCCCCTTTAGGCTCCTGAGTCCTTTTCCCCCTTTAGGCTCCTGAGTCCTTTCCCCCCTTTAGGCTCATTTAAAGGAACATAAAAAAAAATCAACTTCATATTCATCATCTCCAGCACTACCCAAACATCAACATATGTGAAAATGGCGCATTACCCCTCCTCTCATGGACAACATTTAGAGGGAGATAAGTGTTTTCAATGACATCATTGCTGTGCATCGTGATTTTAACCAATTATGAGTAGGCATTGCATACTAATCGTCTACTAATTGGTTGATGTTATTTTCAATCATGCATTAGTAGGCAACACAGAACGCACCATTTACACATACATTGATGTTGAGGTGGTGCTGGAGATGATGAATATGAAGTTGAAACATTTTGAAATGTCCCTTTAATTCAAGTACACCAGTCATTAGGCATACAAATGATGTAGCTATACGGTTGTGTCCCATACCTCCGTCTATGTGTTTGTATACTGTAGTGTGTGTGTGGACCCCAGTGCAGCCAGGGCACAGATGTGTCCTCTCCTAACTCCTGTTTGTTTGGACTACTCATTAGTTAGTGGTGTTGCCTAGTGCTGTAGTCTGGTCCTGCATTCAGTACTTTTCTGTTAGCTCTCCGCTTTATTATGACTGCCTTCTGTCCTTCAACCCTTTAGTCTACAGTGGTGCCTTCTGTCCCTCAACCCTTGTCCCTCAACCCTTTAGTCTACAGTGGTGCCTTCTGTCCCTCAACCCTTTAGTCTACAGTGGTGCCTTCTGTCCCTCAACCCTTTAGTCTACAGTGGTGCCTTCTGTCCCTCAACCCTTCAGTCTACACTGCTGCTACCTCTTGTCTCCCTGCACTGAACATAGACACATTGACATTGTGATTCAGCTTTATGCACTGTACACTCCTAGATAGACAACTATAGCCTTTATGATTCCTAAACACACTTTCACATAGTATAGCTCCCCACTTCCATGCTGACAAAGCAGTAAAGACATTGATTCATTTCCTTATGTGTGAGCATCAATACCAACTGCTGGGGCCCAATACCAATTGACGGAAATGTGTGTCAGATAACTGACTCAATGTTCAAATTCTTGATTACGCATTCAGAAATGTGCTCACGCCAAATTTAAACGTAACACTGTCAAAGGGACATGGAGTTATGAATTTGAAAACGGATCACTGGCGACGTCACGATCTCCTAAAGCTGACGACGTGTGAAGGAGGGGAAATAGCCTGCGGGTTAACTCTGTCACCGTTAAGTCAAACTCACACCTGGTAGAACCACAACGGATCCCACCTCTGACACCGGCTGCAGTTTGAATGTAGTGTACATCCTCTCTCCTGAACGTCTGGCAGGTGTCTCTCTCATAGTCTGCTGCTCTTCACTCTTCCTCTGTCTAATTTGTCTTTTCTCTCACTTTGTTCTTCTTTTGTTTTTGTTTCCTTCTGGTTTGTTTTGCTTCCCAAAGGGCATGATGCCGCTGCTCCCTGTGCAGTTTTGTGCAGTGTGGATAGTTTTAGCTTTCTGCATCACCCTGTGCATCAGAGAAGTTTAGAGATCCTGCAGAGGTGCAAAGAGGAGAAGTACAGTAAGACTGCATTTCCCACAATACCCCTCTCTCCTCACTTTCATGCAACGGTGAGGGGAAACCGTAGGGGTGAGGCAGACCAACAGCATCAGACCAGATACCCTTTTTTTTTGTAAATAAACATTGTGATCGAGTTGAATTATAATGTTCTTTAGATATCATTTTTGTGGGGGGGTGGGACCAATTTAAAACCCCAAGATCTCTTGTTAACTCTACATTAAACTCTGTAGTTTAGTTCCAGAGCATTAGTCATCCACCTGTACGTTTTGTCTAGATGTTTACTAGGTGAACCAAGAAGGCATAATGTTTCTATTCATCCTTCCTTTAAATTAGATGCTTGTTGGTCTCCTCTCCCTCTACACCTCTCCCCCTCCCCCAATCTCTGCATGTACCTGTATGTGTCTTAACAGCCAGTGTTGCATGTGATCTAGTATGTGCCTATGCTAGTCTCTCCCCCCCCCCCCCCCCCTTCTCACTAACTCTGTGATTGTGGGTGCGACCCAGCACTGAACGGTCCTGTTAGCATGGTGACAGGCACTCTAACCTCCTTTAATCCACACTGTGGTCTGGGGTAATGCACAGTAGCACCACTATCACCATCACCATCATAGACACATGCAGTGTTGTCACCATGTTGCCCTGGTGGCCCTGGCCTGTTACCCTGCCCTGGTACCTGCTATGGGGCAGGGGGCGTAGATCAGGGGTCATCTCACTGGTCCACCATGTCACTAGTCTGCACCCCCCCCCCCCCCCCCCTACAAAACACACACACCTCCACATGAAGGCACTCATTTGGGGTGGTGGTGGAGGAATAGGGGATTGTTAGATCTACAACCAATCCCAATTCGCCCTCTAGCCTCCCCGCTATGCATGTTTTTAGATCTGAAAGGATTTGGCAGGTGTAAGAAATATAGAGAACTCCATCCAGCCAATCAGAGGGCATGGTTGTGCTATTACCATATTGTTTATTGCTTATCCTTATCCTATTACCATATTCCAATCATCTCAGATCTACCCACAGGTAGGGTCTAGGGGACGATCTGGAAGGGTATGGTTTCCATGTAGGGGATGGGGGTTGGGTTGGAGGGGTTTCCATGTAGGGGATGGGGGTTGGGTTGGAGGGGTTTCCATGTAGGGGATGGGGGTTGGGTTGGAGGGGTTTCCATGTAGGGGATGGGGGTTGGGTTGGAGGGGTTTCCATGTAGGGGATGGGGGTTGGAGAGGTTTCCACCTTTCCCACCATGTCTCCCTCATGTAAATCTAGCTAAGCTATTCACACAGACACCAGTAATATCACTCTTCTAGTGTTCTAGAAAAAAATAACACATTCTTCAGGGTTTTTCAACATCAAGTCCACACCAAGCACAGTTTTTAAGAGCTTGTACCCAACTGTTCAGTTTTTTTCTTCTCTTTTTGACCCTTCGACAGCGCAGGATATAGCAGAAAATACTGATGATACTGAAAACGGTATAGCATACAGCCTTGAACCAGTCTGAAATGAGTCGCTAGACTGTAGTTCACTTCAAATCCCTGATGGCATGCTTTCTAGATGCTCTGTTTTCTCTCACTGTGTCTGATTGGAAGAGGTTTCACGACTTTAAGATGGAATGTTGGTGTATGGATTACATCATCTCCTCTGCCAACTGTCATAAGCCAATCAGATTGAGGGAAACCTCACTGCTGCCAAAAACACAGCCATTGGAGATATTGAAAAATGCTTTCCTGACCAAACCGGTTTGCTTTCTCCAATTGGAGGCCAACAAATATCTCACTCAAATAGGTGCCTCTGAATTGAGTGTATGTATATTTTGGCTTCAGAGCTACAATGGTTCATTTAAAATCCAGAAGCACCCATTGTTCTTTTAAATGCAACAATTCAGCTCAATTATATTTTGCATAAATAGGTTTTTGACCACAAAGTTATAGATTCTCCTCTAGGTCTTCATGTATATCATCATACAATTCTTCATAGAATATCATCTTCCGAGAAAATAGATGTTTCTTGGAATATCAGGATGATTCATGAATCATGGGTTTATATAAACATTTGGTTTCTGGGGAGTTAGAATCGTGGTTCTTAGTGTTGGACCTTCCCAATTATAAAAGGCATGTTTCCAATAACTGTGTCTTTAACAGTGTCTGTCCATACAGTGAACTAAAACCCTTGTTAATCATTAGTCCAAACTAAACTGAGTAACACTTCCAAAATGGATCTTCCAGACTTCTGTAATTCTCACAATCACTCTAACAACAGCACACAAACTTAACCCGATTTAAATCAGACATTTGGATTACATTTTCCAGCGGGCAAAACTGGTTGAAATGACATCATTACCACCAGAAACAGCCCAGTTTTGTCCACTTGGTTGGAACTGGTATTGTCCTGGTGTCTGAGGTGGTTTAACATTGGTCTGGGTTTGGCCTGGTCCATCTGTGCGTGTCCTCTCACCTGGTTGTGTCCTCCTCCTCCTCCTCCTCCCCTGTCTCTCCCGGCTCAGGTGTGGTCAGGAAGAGTCTACGCACACCGCTGTCGGACCTGCAGGGCAGCAACACGCTCAACGAGAAATCTCCACGGTAAGACCACCTGTGTACTGTAAGGTGTATGCTGAGATATGTTGTAGCCCAGAGGTTAGCAACATTGGACCAGTAACCGAAAAATGAATGGTTTGAATCCCTGAGCCAACTAGGTGAAAAATCTGTTGACGTGCCCTTGAGCAAGGCACTTAACCCTGATTGCTCCTGTAAGACGCTCTGGATAAGAGCGTTTGCTAAATGACTTAAATGTTGATGATTTTGATTGGGATTTATTTTGCTTATCTACACTCCGGAGTGTCCAGGGCAATGACGCTCTCTAGTACAGAAGAGGAGGGTTGTTCAGCAATGACGCTCTCTAGTACAGAAGAGGAGGGTTGTCCAGGGCAATGACGCTCTCTAGTACAGAAGAGGAGGGTTGTCCAGGGCAATGACGCTCTCTAGTACAGAAGAGGAGGGTTGTCCAGGGCAATGACGCTCCTAGTACAGAAGAGGAGGGTTGTTCAGCAATGACGCTCTCTAGTACAGAAGAGGAGGGTTGTTCAGCAATGACGCTCCCTAGTACAGAAGAGGAGGGTTGTTCTGCAAAGGGTTGGAGAAAAGGCTGACAAAGCTTTACAAGAATGAATAATGACTGTGCACTGACCCACTTTACACCCTCCACTGCCCTCTAGACCCCATACCCCCTAATTAACCCCATAACACCCTCCACTGCCCCTAGAGCCCCATACCCCCTAATTAACCCCATAACACCCTCCACTGCCCCTAGAACCCCATACCCCCTAATTAACCCCATAACACCCTCCACTGCCCCTAGAGCCCCATACCCCTAATTAACCCCAATAACACCCTCCACTGCCCCCTAGAAACACCCCCTAATTACCCCATAACACCCTCCACTGCCCAACACCCCCATACCCCCTAAACACCCATACACCCTCCACTGCCCCTAGAACCCCATACCCCTAATTAACCCCATAACACCCTCCACTGCCCTAGAGCCCCATCACCCCTAATTAACCCCATAACACCCTCCACTGCCCCTAGAGCCCCAGACCCCCTATTAACCCCATAACAACCCTCCCACTGCCCCCTAGAGCCCCATCTTACCCCTAATTAACCCAATAACACCCTCCACTGCCCCCTAGAAACCCCATACCCCCGAAACCCCCATAACACCCTCCACTGACCCCTAGAACCCACATTACCCCCATAATTAACCACACATAACACCCTCCCAACTGCCTCCTAGAGCCCCATACCCCCTAATTAACCCCCATAACACCTCCACTGCCCTCTAGAACCCCATACCCCTATTAACCCCCATAACACACCCTCCACTGCCTCCTAGAGCCCCATACCCCCTAATTAACCCCATAACACCCTCCACTGCCCTCTAGAACCCCATACCCCCTAATTAACCCCATAACACCCTCCACTGCCCCTAGAACCCCATACCCCTAATTAACCCCATAACACCCTCCACTGCCCCCTAGAGCCCCATACCCCCTAATTAACCCCATAACACCCTCCACTGCCCCTAGAGCCCCATACCCCCTAATTAACCCCATAACCCTCCACTGCCTCCATAGCCCCATACCCCCTAATTAACCCATACACCTCCATGCCCTCTAGAACCCCTACCCCTAATACCTAAACCTCCACTGCCCCTAGAGCCCCATACCCCCTAATTAACCCCATAACACCCTCCACTGCCCCTAGAGCCCCATACCCCCTAATTAACCCCATAACACCCTCCACTGCCCCTAGAACCCCATACCCCCTAATTAACCCCATAACACCCTCCACTGCCCTCTAGAACCCCATACCCCCTAATTAACCCCATAACACCCTCCACTGCCCCCTAGAGCCCCATACCCCCTAATTAAACCCCTATAAACACCTCGCACTGGCCCCCTAGAGCCCCATACCACCTAAATAACCCCATAAACCCACTCCCTCCACTCCATCCTAGAGCCCCATACCCCCTAATTAACCCCATAACACCCTCCACTGCCTCCTAGACCCCCATAATCCATAATTAACCCCATAGCATGACATTACTGCCCCCGTACACAGCAAGTGGCAAAAGACCACCCTTACAACAGTGCTTTTGTTACAAGGAGTCAAGTCTTGGACTGTTAAAGTCCTCTTAATGTGATTTTAGGAGGAGACACACACAGACAGACACACACACACACACACAGAGACTCATGGTTACTAAGTTAGTGCTAAAGCCCACATGCAGCTGCTTCCTGCGTGATGTCAGGTCAGAGTTATGTGTTTCAGGAGACGACCCAGGGACGGATAAATACTGGCTCTCGGCAGGGGTCTTCTCAGATGAACGCTACAGTGGACAGTACAGTACTGTCTGGGATCCAGAGGTGTACTCTGAAAACAAACATATTCTGTAGCCATTCCTCCTTGTGGCATACACAGCATTAGAGTAACATTGTTTTAAAGGGACAAGTCTCCATATTTCAGAAATGAAACATTTCTTACTCATTTTCATATTTATAGGATTAGTCTCAAATGTGGTCTGGGAGGAAACCTAATTTATTTCCACCAGGGCATTTTGTTTATATTGCTTTAGTGATATAATTTATATTCCCTAGGCAACGGAGTTATAGGTCTCCAGTTTAAATCATCCAAACTTATTGGGAGGCCTGTTTAAATTGTAAATATATCTCACCACTGGGGTTCGGGATTTACTCTGTTCTTTATATGAATCTTGGACCTGATTACTTCCTGTAGCTTGGCTAAAGTAGGTCTTTAGGGTCTCTTCCATGACCTCTATGGAGAGAAATCTAAACAGGTCCAGCTAAGACAAAACCAAGAGACGCAGCCATTTACGCCCAGAGTCTATTTTCAACCTGTCTCCACTGTCCAAACTATTCTTGGCTGTGAATGCACAAAACAGAGCAAAATATGTTTGAAATGTAAGCCATGTTTTTTCCCCATCGGTTTAACCACAAAAGAAAATATTGCAAAAACCATGGGATCCTAGATTGGGTCGTAAAAACAAAACACTTTGAGACCTCAGTGTTGTTTTACTATGACTGCCTCTTCTTGGGCAAATAAATACTTTGGTGTTTATTGTTTTTTATACCAATAAAACCCTAAGACAATGAGTAACCATTTTAGTTTGGGTGCCAACATCAAAAAGTACAATCCGAAGACGAATGGCTTGCTGTAAGTCTTCACCTGTTTGCCTTGTCTTGCACTTGTCACCCATGACGCCTCCCCATGGACCCGTGTCTAACCTCTGACCCCGTCCCGCTTGTAGGAAAGACGGAGCCCCCCCATTAGTAACATTCTATATGTTCTATGTGTACTCCCACGTGGATACCGTGTTTAACGTGTCGCTGTGTGTGGCCACAGACCCAGTAGGAAGTGGCGTATAAATCATTAGGAGTCAGAGTGTGAAAACAAACCTCCCTCCCCGGCTGCTACGATGGCTTGCTGGGTGGAATCCATGATGGATCGCCTTCTCCTCCCAAGTCCTGATGGCTTGCTGGGTGGAATCCATGATGGATCGTCTTCTACTCCCCAGTGCTGATGGCTTGCCGGGTGGAATCCATGATGGATAGCCTTCACCTCCCCAGTCCTGATGGCTTGCCGGGTGGAATCCATGATGGATCGCCTTCTCCTCCCAGGTCCTGATGGCTTGCCAGGTGGAATCCATGATGGATCGCCTTCTCCTCCCAGGTCCTGATGGCTTGCCGGGTGGAATCCATGATGGATCGCCTTCTCCTCCCCAGTCCTGATGCAGTATACTATCAGGGCTAAAGGGGTTTGGTGTTGGGAGGTTTGGTGTTGGGAGGTTTGGTGTTGGGAGGTTTGGTGTTGGGAGGTTTGGTGTTGGGAGGTTTGGTGTTGGGTTTAGGTGTTGACCGTTAACCGACCCAAGCCGCTGTGTTGATAGAAAAACCTGCTGTTTGTTCAGGCGCTTGGCTGGGATGACCAGAGTTTACCTTGAGGCCTGAGGCTTTACACTGCAGAACCCAGGGCTAGGATAGCATATCCCATTTGTAGTGGTGCTTAACATGGAAAAGCCCCTTTCTGCAGGACATAAAATACAGTCAAATGTTGGTCAAACATTTTCTTATTTAAGCTTTTTCCTAGTTGTCCAGCTAAAATGAAATCTCTATATTTCCTAAAGGCATATTTTTAACTGTGGATCATTTTGAAACGGATCTGTGTGTGTTCCTAACCAGGGAGGGTGTGAGCTGGGATGGGCGTGGCGGGTGGCAGGGCCGCCTGTCATCCAGCGGGTCCAACACAGAAGAGGACGGAGGAATCTTTGTGAACTCCACCAGCAGCAAGCTCCTGGAGAGAGCCCACGGCATCCTCATGTGAGTGACTCAACATCTTTGTTTAACACCGGTCATCCACCCACCCACCCACGCACCACCACTACTCCTTAAATTACTCTCGGCACTGACTGTTTCTGTCTCAAACCTCCTACACCACTCCTTAAATTACTCTCGGCACTGACTGTTTGTCTCAAACCCCCTGCAACACTCCTCTTTAAGCCTTTTATTGGCCTGGTAGAGAAGACACAATGTAGATATTCATAATGTAGATATTCTTATGTCCCTAAAACCATCTGCTCTCTTTTACCAGGAGAAACAAAAACTACAAATCAAAGCCCAGTCTTCCAAAGGTAAGCCACCTTGTTAAGCCACCTTGTCTTTAAACCTCTAGTGATAATACTAGTGCTGGATCTTACTGGTCGTGTGTTCTTCCCTTTTACCACAGCACTTGCTTGATGTCAAGTCCCTCAAGTACCTCAGCAACCTGACGCTGCACGACCGCATCACCAAGTCCCTCCTCCACCTCCACAAGAAGAAGAAACCACCCAGCATCAGCGCTCAGTTCCAGGTCAGTCCCCCTTAGGCACAGATCTAGGATCAGTGTATCTCTCCCAAATCATGCCCTTAACTATTAGGGTCGAGGGTGTCAAACTTATTTCCTGGCGGGCCATGTGTCTGCTGGTTTTTGCTCTATCTTTTCAATTAATGTCCAATTACCTTGAACATGACCAACATCCTAATTACGTGACCTATTGATCACTGTCAGCTGACGCCCCGACCACCTGTCCTGGGACTGAGTATGTGTTTAGGGAACTCAGGTGTGTGTCTCCTCTATTATCTGCCTGTGTATGGAAGTTGCCTGCCTGCTGCCTGGCTGTCAGTGTCTGTTTCTCTGTCGGTGCTGTCTGTCTGCTGTGTACCTGCCTTGTCTGCCTGCCTGCCTGTCTGCCTGTCTGCTGTCTGTCTGTCTGATCCTGTGACGTCTTTTTCTTTTTGTCATCCCACCCAAAAGACAACGATGACATCATGTCTGGGTGGAAAAAAATAACTATTTCATAAAACATCTCTTGCCCAGAACATTCCCATTTCTCTGTCACTTTGGAAATTAGTGTGATCCCTGATGATGAATTTTAAGCTCAGTTGAGCAGATTTGACCGTGTCAAAAAGAGAAGAATAAAACCCCAAAATCCTACTTTTAAATTAAAGCGATTCTCCAGTACTTTTTTATACTTTTTAGCCAGTAGTTCTGAAAGTAGTGGTCACACGCCCTGCTGTGTGTTCATCATGTGCATCTTGCTAGCTGTCTCTCATATGGCGAGGGGCTGAAGCTCATTGGTTGAACTCAAATTGCTAGGGGGCTGGACCACGTTGGGGAAAATGTAGGGAAAATGGCGCAGCACACCTTCCAGAAAAACAGTTGCTTTCAAACTAGGTTTAAAAAAATACTTAGTAGTCGCCAAAGTTCCGGAGCATGTCTTTAATATAATAAAGGTGATACTTAAAGATGGAAGTCCCCAGCTTATCTAAGACCAGCTGAGTAGGCTGATGAGACAGAGGGGGACGTTGTCAACTCATCTCAGTTATGATCATCCCTTTATCACAGCCGTAATCATCTCTCCCTCCTACCAGCTTGTCTTTCTTAACTCCTCTGTTGTGTCTTTACTCATGCCTGGCTGTCTCTATTGCTCTTGGCTCACAGAGGGTGAGGGTGAGTCCCAAATGGCACCCCATTCCCTACATAGTGCACTAGTTTTGACCAGGGCCTGGAGTGGGGGAGTGGGGGGGGCATTTGGGACGCGGTATGAGTGTAAAGAGGCGTGACCGCCCCCACAACAACAATCCCCTATCCCCCAGCCCTGGCCTGTACTCTAACCCTCTCTGGCTGGCAGGAAGCCTGGCTGTACTCTAACCCCCTCTGGCTGGCAGGAAGCCTGGGCAGAAGGCAGGGAGTGGTGACATCACTTCCCACATCCTGTTGTGTGGCTGATTGCTTTCATCTTCTGAGCGGAGTGGGGGGAACTGCATTCCTGGCCACCGAAATAGCCACACACACACCCACACTCTCATACACACACATGCATACAAACATATACTTACACACACATGCATACATGTGTGTGCAGCCGTCTAAGGCACTGCATCTCAGTGCTTGAGGCGTCACTACAGACCCCCTGGTTCGATTCCAGGCTGTATCACAACCGGCCGTGATTGGGAGTCCCATAGGGCGGCGCACAATTGGCCCGGCGTCGTCCGGGTTTGGCCGGTGTAGGCCGTCATTGTAAATAAGAATTTGTTCTTAACTGACTTGCCTACTTAAATAAATGTTAAATAAAATTAAAAAAATACACACTCTCATACACACATATACATACACACACACTCATACACTGCTTTCATCTTCTGAGCGGAGTGGGGGGAACTGCATTCCTGGCCACCGAAATAGCCACTCCCACACCCACACTCTCATACACACATATACATACACACACTCTCATACACACACATGCATACACACACTCTCATACACACACATGCATACACACACATTCCCTCACTTTCTCTCTCTCTCACACACGCGCACACACACACACACAGTTTTGGAATGTTATGGCATCAGGTGGACCTTACCCAGTGTCTGTTTGTTGTTGTCCGGAGGAAGAGAACCCAGGAGGACCTGTCTCCCTCCTCACCCCAACCCTCCATGCTACAGCAGCTAACCACACGCTAGCCTATTATCCTAGACCGTCTTTTATTATGTGGCAAAAAAGGGTTATAAAGACAGGACAACAATTATTCACACCAGACAAAACCACTCCTCCCTGCTATAAAACCAACAAAGCCAATGTGCCGTGTATTATTTCTGTCTGACAAAGGTTGTATATATGTTTATATGATGTTTAATATGGTTTTGGTGATGTCAATACCTGGGATGTATTCACTAGGAACCAAACAGAACCAAACGGAAGCAAACGAAACAGGGACGGGCCTACCTGAATTTGTCCAATAGAAACTCTTGTTTTCGTAGCGAAACGTTTTCCGTTTGGAGTAAACAGGTTTTTTTTTGCTAAACGTTTTGGACTAATGATGACACCCCTGATCTGTCCTACCACAGGCCTCTCTCAATAAGCTGATGGAGACTCTGGGCCAATCAGAACCCTACTTTGTCAAATGCATCCGTTCCAATGCAGAGAAGCTGCCCCTGCGCTTCAACGATGGCCTGGTACTCAGGCAGCTACGCTACACAGGTATGCTGGAGACCGTGCGCATCCGCCAGTCAGGCTACTGCATCAAGCACACCTTCCAGGTAAGCCGTTTTAGACAGATGCACAGACGCGTATGCAAACTCACACACACACACACATATACATGCACACACACTCTCATCCCATATTTACCCCATCTACAAGTCTGTCTCACATCGTAGACATTAGTCAGTGTTAATCTGCCTGTCTTCTCTCCTGGAAGCACTCACATCGTAGACATTAGTCAGTGTTAATCTGCCTGACGCAATTTCCTCTGTTCCTCAGTAACCTCAGTCATCTGTTCCTCAGTAACCCGGAGTTCTTGTTCTCAGAACCTCGGAGTCAAGTCTTTCCTCAGTTCGGACTGTCTGTAACCTCGGGTGATTGTCCTCATAACTCGGAGTCAAGTCTCGTTCTCAGTGGAGTCCTCGTTCTCATAACCCGAGTCAAGTCTCTGTGAACCTCAGCATGTTTCCTCTTTATTGTTCCGTTGCAGGGTGATGGACATTGTATCAAATGTCGTGCTGTCTGCTGTATCTGTTTGTGTAAGAAATTATTTACTAGCGATTGAAGTGGCTGCCATATTGTCTCCAAGACTTCATAAGTATGATGTTGTTTGTATGATAGTATTGTGGGACTATTAGGACAGTGCTCTTAAGTTAGGTGTCATTTGAATATGACTAGTTGGGTACAGTAGATGTCACAATAATGTTATGGATTGTCTAGAGTCTAGCTCGTTACTGTACTTTTAGCCAATCCTTCAGTTTTAAAGTAGCGTCACCTTTATTTTCGTATATTGCTTGTCCTGTAAGGAACCGTTGAACTAGTGTTTACAGCTGTGGAAGCCAAACATTAGGTCACTGGGCGAAACCATTGTGATGGAACGTTTGTAATACACAACCTTGACGATGAAACGAGATGGAATGCCCCGCCCGTGACCTCATTCTGCCGCTCATGAACTTACTCACAACACTAGATCGTTTTAGCCTCAGACTGACATTCTCATTGATCTGAATTCCCCTGAGATATTAGAGCTGCGGCCCTTCTGAAGACTGTCCTGAGATCAGTGTGGAGAACAGGGCCTCTATAGTCTGTAATGAAACGCTTGGTCCTGTGGGGGTAATTGTATAAACACAGCATCTGTTTCCCAGTCAGTCAGCCACACCCCTACTGCCTTCACCGGTTTCCCGGACTGCCAACTGTGTTGACATCAGACAACGGGCCTCCGTTTGGGGGGGAGTGGGATGGTGAATATTTTTTTGATGATGTTAGTTAGCCTCCCTGTAAATATCACCATGGACTATCCCTAAAACCACATGTGCCCCGAACAGGACCTTGTCCCTGTGTCACTCCTGTAGAGTGAAGCTAAGAGATGGTTCCTTTAGAGACTGGCTGGTGATATCACTTAGAGATGCACAGCTCCAATCCTCAGGAGCTGCAGTGTTTTGTGCTGCCTGCGACAGATTCAGTGAGAGAAGCCCAGCCAATCAGGTGATCAGTACAGTGCCATATAGAAGAGTTAACCAGTAGAGACCGTTGCCGTTGAGTACTGTCCACCGACTCACACTTCTGAAAATTGCCTCCTACATTTATTATAACCGTTGTTTTTTTTTGTGTGTTTCTCCTTTTCCCTCTTCTTGCCTGGCAGGATTTTGTCCGTCACTTCCGCGTGCTGCTACCCGAGGGCACCAGTGCCACCCAAGAGGGCATCAGACAGTACCTAGGCCAGGTGGACCTTGCGCCCGATGGATACCAAGTTGGCAAAACCATGGTACTATTCACCCTACTGCCTGTCACTACAGTAGATTAAAACCATGGTACTAGTCACCCTACTGCCTGTCACTACAGTAGATTAAAACCATGGTACTAGTCACCCTACTGCCTGTCACTACAGTAGATTAAAACCATGGTACTATTCACGCAGCTGCCTGTCACTACAGTAGATTAAAACCATGGTACTAGTCACCCTACTGCCGGTCACTACAGTAGATTAAAACCATGGTACTAGTCACCCTACTGCCTGTCACTACAGTAGATTAAAACCATGGTACTAGTCACCCTACTGCCTGTCACTACAGTAGATTAAAACCATGGTACTATTCACCCAGCTGCCTGTCACTACAGTAGATTAAAACCATGGTACTAGTCACCCTACTGCCTGTCACTACAGTAGATTAAAACCATGGTACTAGTCACCCTACTGCCGGTCACTACAGTAGATTAAAACCATGGTACTAGTCACCCTACTGCCTGTCACTACAGTAGATTAAAACCATGGTACTAGTCACCCTACTGCCTGTCACTACAGTAGATTAAAACCATGGTACTAGTCACCCTACTGCCGGTCACTACAGTAGATTAAAACCATGGTACTAGTCACCCTACTGCCGGTCACTACAGTAGATTAAAACCATGTTACTATTCACCCTACTGCCTGTCACTACAGTAGATTAAAACCATGGTACTAGTCACCCTACTGCCTGTCACTACAGTAGATTAAAACCATGGTACTAGTCACCCTACTGCCTGTCACTACAGTAGATTAAAACAAAGAGGAGGGATAAAATTGAGACTTTTTAGTCAAGATATCAACAATTGTATCCAATTGTCTTTGGTTTTCTGTAGTATATTGTACCCCCATGGGGATTTGCCATAAGGCACTGATCTGTTTTATTTTACACATTTAGACCAGTCTTATATATAGAAAAGTGTGTGGTCATACGCACATCCTTAAAACACAGGTGCTGGGCTAATGAACTATACTAGAACAGAACAGACAGGCCTTGCGTTGTCCTCATAGCTAGTGGATAGTTGACCATGAGTGGTAGTTGACCATCAGTTTATCAGTCTCCACGGGGGGGGGGGGGGGGGCTGGAGACTCAGCCCTGCTTTAGGTTATTGAACTTTATTTAAATATAGAAACAGGAACATAAGGAGCAGTGACAATATATTACTGTAGTCTTTCTGGGAGACAGGACGTAATACACACACGCACTCTGATAGATGGGTCCAGAGCTATTCCTTTGGTTTGATGTGTCTATAATTAGTGGTCCATACCTGAAATTCTTGTGTCCCTGTGTCTGATCATCCAGGGAGGAGGATGTCCATACTTGAACAGTGTGCCCTTGTGTGTGTGTGTGTGAGTATATATGTATGTGTGTATGATGTGCCACTCATTGTGTCCGCTGTCAGGTGTTCCTGCGTGAAGTGGAGCGTCAGCGGCTGCAGGCGTTGCTCCACAGGGAGGTCCTGGACCGTATCGTCACGCTACAGCGCCGCTTCAGGGCCCTGCTGGAGAGGAAACACTTCATCAGGATGAGACTAGCTGCCACAACCATCCAGGTAACCACCGTCCCCTTCTTATAGCCTCATCACCCCAGGGCCAGTGACCGGGTAAGCTTCATCACCCCAGGGCCAGGGGGGGCAGGGGGGCACCAACCTGGTCCATACAGGGTCTGCTACAGGCGTTGGTTCATACAGTTGCATGGTCCTGCTACAGGGGTATGCAGGCTTTGGTTCATTACAGTTGCATGGTCCTGCTACAGGGGTATGGGCTTTGGTTTCATTACAGTTGCTGGTCCTGCTACAGGGGTATGCAGGCTTTGGTTTCATTACAGTTGCATGGTCCTGCTACAGGGGTATGCAGGCTTTGGTTTCATTACAGTTGCATGGTCCTGCTACAGGGGTATGCAGGCTTTGGTTTCATTACAGTTGCATGGTCCTGCTACAGGGGTATGCAGGCTTTGGTTTCATTACAGTTGCATGGTCCTGCTACAGGGGTATGCAGGCTTTGGTTTCATTACAGTTGCACGCAATCAGGGTCTTGATGAGTTGATTAGTTGACTCAGGTGTGTTAGCGCTGGGCTGGTAGAAAGTCTGCACACCCTGTTCTGTGGCTCTCAGCACCATAGTTGGTGATATTAACTGTGTAAATGATCTATAGTATATCCAGGCTATAGATACAGTAGGTGTTTGTTTGTAAATGTGATATTTATTTAGTATTTAGTAAATAATGCACATATCGGTGTTATTCAACGGAGGTAGGAATGCTTCTCATCCCAATGTTATGTGTCAGTCCTTATCTGTGCTATCTTGCTCAGCCCGGTTTTGATGGGCCACTAAAGATATGTAATTGTATGTGTTATAGAGGGATGTTTAGATTCAGAGCCCTTTCAGTAATCCTACAATTAATTTTTGTGGAGAATTATGTGAATTAGCTCAACTATTTGTCTTGACCGTTCCTCAACTTTGTTTTGGATGTCATTCAACTTTCACGATCCCAATCTAAGACTCATACCAGATATTTGATCCTAGTACTTATGCAATTGTTGATTCAGTTACGTTACAGTATCCAGCAGGAACCAAAACTAAGTCCTCTCATAAACTGGGACATTATTGTACTAGAGAAGTTGGCTATGAATGGTACTGGATATAATACACCTTAAGGATAGGTACTTCGGGTTTGTCAGTTGGCCTTTTTTGCTTTAGATCTTTGAGACCTTGGTGTAATTTAGCCAATCACTGATATTGATCAACTAGCACAGTTGTTGAGGTGATTAGTAGAGTCAGGTGTGGTACCTGGTTGGAATCAAACCCTGCAATACCTCTGGCACTCCAGGATCAAGTCAAAGTTTATTGGTCACGTACACAGTTTGACAGATGTTATAGCGAATGCTTGTTTTACTAGCTCCTAACAGTGCAGCAAAATTGTCAAACAAGTACACAAATAATAATAATCAAAAACTAAAAACAAGAAATCAGGAATGTCAGAACTAATCCAGTTAACACTATCAGTAATCCAAATGCAATCAATGTGTATATGCACCTACAATATCTACTTAAGAATGATATGTACAGCAGTAGATATATTACAGTGAGCCATGTCAGGAATCCAGTATATAGATACGCGATGGGAATAAACAGTGTAACAAAATGCAATGTACTGTATTAGATATATTAGAAAGAGCTATGTGAAGAATACAGTATATGAATACACAGTGTGAAAAACAGTATAAAATAAAATACAAAATAAACCAAATGGATCAGGGCATCTACCCTTGTTAATGTTCCCCTGCTACACCTCTCCCTTCCCTGCTTGGAGAGGGCCTCGTATTATATCTGTTTACACTGTAACCGCCTATTTGGTCCTTTGGAAAGAGACTCGGGTGTTTTGGTTTTGCCTAGTTGAAAAGAAAAAGAAATCCAATCAATGGGTAGAAGTGTTAGTAGGCAGAGACTTAGGGAGAGCGCTAACAACATTGAAATAAACCCTCTAATGGAAGTGTTGTGATCATGTTCCCAGAGCAGGAGAACAAAAGGTCTGTCAAACAGTTAATGTATTTATTTATCTCTGCTGAGACTGCCTTTGCTCTTTGTGTAGTCAGCCAAGTTTGGATAGCTTTGTGTCCTGTTTTGACAACATTTTCCCTGACTATACCCAAAATTATTTTATTCAGTAGTGCCCAATCCCAGCTCCCCCTAGGCTCCTCACCCCCCAGGCCCTCCTAACCCCCCAGGCCCTCCTAACCCCCCAGGCCCTCCTAACCCCCCAGGCCCTCCTAACCTCTATGCACTTGTGGAAATCTGAGAGAATTGGATAGGTGTAAGCAACATGGTAATAGCTCCACCTTGATTTCTGATTGGCTTGATGGAATTTTTGCCAATTTGCCTATACTGTACCTATCAGATCTCCACAAGTGCATAGGGGGGTGATTTTTGGATTGGACGTTGCTATAGATGGATGGACTCAAATCCAAGAAACTTAACAAATTCCATCATACTATAAATGCGGTAACATCCACAGCGCTGATCTCACCTGCTTTTCCCTCACACAGCAATGGTGGCGTGCCTACCTGTCCAAGCAGGAAGATGACTACGACCCCAGCATCCAGGAGGAGGCGGCTTTGTGCCTCCAGACCGCCTGGCGGGGATACAAGGAGCGCCGGAGGTTCGGGCTGTGGCGGGAGGCGGCCCTGCTGCTGCAGAGGGAGTGGAGGGCGTGGCTGAAGCGGAGAGAACGGGAGGGGGCAGCACTCGCCATCCAGACGGCCTGGCGCTGCCACATGGCCAGAGACGCCTACCTGCGACTGCGTGGCACCACGGTGCTGCTACAGGCAGCGGGGAAAGGATACCTGGCCAGACAGAGGTAAACTAATGTTAAGTGTTGTAGAACGTTTCTTAGAGCAGACGTGGTTCTCCACATGACATGAGAGTGAATAGTCTGTTCTACACTTTGTCTGTTCTACAAATGCATTTCTATCTGCAGCTGAGCTTTCAAAACGTTATGCTTCATTACTGTTTCTGGATACTTTTGCATGATCATGGAAATCAATATGAAATGCCATGGAAAATTTTATGAAGGCAGTGTTGCCACAGAAGACCATCTGAACTTCCATGCTACCATCATTTCAACCATCATTTCAACTCAAACATTCTTGCAACGAGATTAGAAATTGCTGCAAAGTTCATTCACTGTACTTATTGGTCATAATTCTATATCCAATCCCCCTCCACGCCCAGTCGTAACTGGTGACGTGCCCGTATTCATGGCCTGCCAGCTGAAAAATCTCCTGTTCAGATAATGTGGTTACATAAACACCCAGAACAAAGTAGCAACAGTCAGCTGAGCTGGAGGAGGACATTCTCCCGTAAGGCTGCCACTTTGAGTTGACACATTCAACAGGAAGAGACTGTTATATGTTTTTAAGTGTCTAGTTAAGTGTTTAACTGTCTTGTCAAGGAACAAGGAAGTAAGACTCATTGAAGGTGTGGTGTTGCCTTGTGATTGGTTTAGCTGTAACCATGCCTCCTTGATTGACAGCTTCGGGCAGCTGAAGGAGCAGAGACTGAGAGAGAAGGAGCAGAGGCTGAGGGAGAGAGAGTGTCAACAACAGCAGCAGCTGCAGCAACAACAGCAGCAGCTGCTGCAGAATGGACAGACTCGCCTCTCGCCAGAAGAAGATGATCAGCCAGTGAGGATCATGGGCCTGGACCTGAGCACATGGGAGGACCGCTCATACAAGGAGCGGGAGAGGAGCCTCCAGAGACTGAACAGCCAGGAGGAGAGGAGAAAAGAGGGAGGAGGTGAAGGAGGAGTGGCGAGGGCCGCAGAGAGCTCCGGTAGGGCCCAGTCTGAACCACCGCCAGTTTCGTCGACAGCTGCCACTGCCACGGTGGTGGTGAGAGAGAGGACCAGGACCCTGGACGAGCCCTGCCAGAGGACCACCAGGGCCAAGAGGGAGAGCCGGAGGATGAGGGAGCTGGAGCAGGCCAAGTTCAGCCTGGAGCTGCTCAAGGTGCGGGCCACGGGCAGTGGTGGGGCCTCGTCCCCCTCTGAGGAGAGGCGCTGGTCGGCCGAGCTGGCCCCCGCCACCACCTCGCCTCTCCGCTCCCCCCAGGGGCCCGGAACCCCCGACAGCCAGAGCTCCAAGGGCAGCTTCGAGCTACTCAGCGTGGACGACGAGATACTCAGGGAGAGGGCACCTTTGGCGGATGCGGAGGAGCTTGGTTCCCCCCTCTCTTCTGAAGCGCCGATGGAGCTGGAGCAGGCCCCAGAGGTCATCCCCATTAGCCCCATGTCGAAGGAGCCTCCCAGGGCTTCTGTGTCCGATGTCGCCTCCCCACCTCCAGACAGTCAGAGCCAGGCCAAGCCAGAACCGGCTGCCGTCTCTCCACCTCCGCCCAAGATAGAGAACTACCTCCCTACCTTTTACGTCCCGTCAACTGATGGCAGCTTGGTCATCACCCGTCGTCCTGGCGTTGACCCCTCGCGACCCCTCGAGGAAGATACCACCACCACTACCACTAGTACCACCATCATCACCAAGCCGCTCAAGTCAATCAAACAAAGGCGGGAGTCGTCACGGCGACCCGTGGTGGTGGTCATCAGCATGCAGAAGGAAACCCCCCTGTATCAGGAGGAGCTAGGTGGTGCTGTTGTTCATCTTCCCCCTTGTAGAGGTTCATGACGGGTCGGCACAAACCGGCGAATCCCCTTCATCGCCACGGCCATCAGTTCCGGCGCCCGTTCAACCACTAGATCCCGCCCCCGTCATCCCCGTCCCGGCCGCCAACCAGCTGGTCCTGGAGAAGCTGGAGCGACTGAACGAGGAAAAGGAGGAGCGTCAGCGGCACCTGCAACAGCAGAACGAGCGGGAGATGATGGACCAGATCCGACAGCAGAAGGAGGTTCTGGAGAGACAGCGCCGCCACTTCGCCCAGTACGAGAGGGAACTGTTGGAGAAGCAGAGGGGCGAGGCCCTGGTCAGGATCCAGCAGAGCCGGCAGGGGGGGCCCCTCCAGGGAGGGCCCTCCCAAGACAGGAGTGCAACCGCAGCTACCTCGACCAGGCCCCTAAGACCCAGCTCCCTTCTCATCGAGAGAGCCCCGGCTCTGGCTCCACCCTTCAAGACCAAGTCTGTGTCCGCTGCCCCTGCAGACCTCTCTCCTCCTGGGCCGATGGACACCCAGAGTGTTCCCAAGCCCCATCCTGAGCCCAACAAGGCCCAGCCCAAGGCCCAGCCCAACAAGACCCAGCCCAAGGCCCAGCCCAACCAGACCCATCCCCAGGCCCGGCTCCCTCCACCTCCCTCAGTCCCCAAAGCAAAGACCAGGGATGGGAGGCCCGTTGCGGACGGCTGGGCGCCGAATTTGACCCTGGAGTCCAGAGAGGGCGGGGGAGGAGGAGCCAGAGGGAGGGTCCCCAAGAAGGCCCTGGCCAATCAGGGCGCCAGTGTCAGCATGACTGACAGGTCGGGGAACATCTTCTTTGCGCCCAAAGACAGGGTGTCGTTCTCTAAGTGAGTATTGAATCCAGCTATGGAGTTATCATGTACTGTAGGTACCTTAACCACTCAACTAGACATTGATACACATTTAATGGAGAGATGGGAGATTATTCCTAAAAATGTCTGTCATATACAGTGGGGAAAAAAAGTATTTAGTCAGCCACCAATTGTGCAAGTTCTCCCACTTAAAAAGATGAGAGAGGCCTGTAATTTTCATCATAGGTACACGTCAACTATGACAGACAAAATGAGAAAAAAAAATCCAGAAAATCACATTGTAGGATTTTTTATGAATTTATTTGCAAATTATGGTGGAAAATAAGTATTTGGTCAATAACAAAAGTTTCTCAATACTTTGTTATATACCCTTTGTTGGCAATGACACAGGTCAAACGTTTTCTGTAAGTCTTCACAAGGTTTTCACACACTGTTGCTGGTATTTTGGCCCATTCCTCCATGCAGATCTCTTCTAGAGCAGTGATGTTTTGGGGCTGTCGCTGGGCAACACGGACTTTCAACTCCCTCCAAAGATTTTCTATGGGGTTGAGATCTGGAGACTGGCTAGGCCACTCCAGGACCTTGAAATGCTTTTTATGAAGCCACTCCTTCATTGCCCGGGCGGGGTGTTTGGGATCATTGTCATGCTGAAAGACCCAGCCACGTTTCATCTTCAATGCCCTTGCTGATGGAAGGAGGTTTTCACTCAAAATCTCACGATACATGGCCCCATTCATTCTTTCCTTTACACGGATCAGTCGTCCTGGTCCCTTTGCAGAAAAACAGCCCCAAAGCATGATGTTTCCACCCCCATGCTTCACAGTAGGTATGGTGTTCTTTGGATGCAACTCAGCATTCTTGGTCCTCCAAACACGACGAGTTGAGTTTTTACCAAAAAGTTATGTTTTGGTTTCATCTGACCATATGACATTCTCCCAATCCTCTTCTGGATCATCCAAATGCACTCTAGCAAACTTCAGACGGGCCTGGACATGTACTGGCTTAAGCAGGGGGACACGTCTTGCACTGCAGGATTTGAGTCCCTGGCGGCGTAGTGTGTTACTGATGGTAGGCTTTGTTACTTTGGTCCCAGCTCTCTGCAGGTCATTCACTAGGTCCCCACGTGTGGTTCTGGGATTTTTGCTCACCGTTCTTGTGATCATTTTGACCCCACGGGGTAAGATCTTGCGTGGAGCACCAGATCGAGGGAGATTATCAGTGGTCTTGTATGTCTTCCATTTCCTAATAATTGCTCCCACAGTTGATTTCTTCAAACCAAGCTGCTTACCTATTGCAGATTCAGTCTTCCCAGCCTGGTGCAGGTCTACAATTTAGTTTCTGGTGTCCTTTGACAGCTCTTTGGTCTTGGCCATAGTGGAGTTTGGAGTGTGACTGTTTGAGGTTGTGGACAGGTGTCTTTTATACTGATAACAAGTTCAAACAGGTGCCATTAATACAGGTAACGAGTGGAGGACAGAGGAGCCTCTTAAAGAAGAAGTTACAGGTCTGTGAGAGCCAGAAATCTTGCTTGTTTGTAGGTGACCAAATACTTATTTTCCACCATAATTTGCAAATAAATTCATAAAAAATCCTACAATGTGATTTTCTGGATTTTTTTTCCTCAATTTGTCTGTCATAGTTGACGTGTACCTATGATGAAAATTACAGGCCTCTCTCATCTTTTTAAGTGGGAGAACTTGCACACATTAGCCCCATGTCGAAGGAGCCTCCCAGGGCCTCTGTGTCCGATGTCGCCTCCCCACCTCCAGACAGTCAGAGCCAGGCCAAGCCAGAACCGGCTGCCGTCTCTCCACCTCCGCCCAAGATAGAGAACTACCTCCCTACCTTTTACGTCCCGTCAACTGATGGCAGCTTGGTCATCACCCGTCGTCCTGGCATTGACCCCTCGCGACCCCTCGAGGAAGATACCACCACCACTACCACTAGGACCACCATCATCACCAAGCCGCTCAAGTCAATCAAACAAAGGCGGGAGTCGTCACGGCGACCCGTGGTGGTGGTCATCAGCATGCAGAAGGAATCCCCCCTGTATCAGGAGGAGCTAGGTGGTGCTGTTGTTCATCTTCCCCCTGTAGAGGTTCATGACGGGTCGGCACAAACCGGCGAATCCCCTTCATCGCCACGGCCATCAGTTCCGGCGCCCGTTCAACCACTAGATCCCGCCCCCGTCATCCCCGTCCCGGCCGCCAACCAGCTGGTCCTGGAGAAGCTGGAGCGACTGAACGAGGAAAAGGAGGAGCGTCAGCGGCACCTGCAACAGCAGAACGAGCGGGAGATGATGGACCAGATCCGACAGCAGAAGGAGGTTCTGGAGAGACAGCGCCGCCACTTCGCCCAGTACGAGAGAGAACTGTTAGAGAAGCAGAGGGGCGAGGCCCTGGTCAGGATCCAGCAGAGCCGGCAGGGGGGGCCCCTCCAGGGAGGGCCCTCCCAAGACAGGAGTGCAACCGCAGCTACCTCAACCAGGCCCCTAAGACCCAGTTCCCTTCTCATCGAGAGAGCCCCGGATCTGGCTCCACCCTTCAAGACCAAGTCTGTGTCCGCTGCCCCTGCAGACCTCTCTCCTCCTGGGCCGATGGACACCCAGAGTGTTCCCAAGCCCCATCCTGAGCCCAACAAGGCCCAGCCCAACAAGGCCCAGCCCAAGGCCCAGCCCAACCAGCCCCATCCCCAGGCCCGGCTCCCTCCACCTCCCTCAGTCCCCAAAGCAAAGACCAGGGATGGGAGGCCCGTTGCGGACGGCTGGGCGCCGAATTTGACCCTGGAGTCCAGAGAGGGCGAGGGAGGAGGAGCCAGAGGGAGGGTCCCCAAGAAGGCCCCGGCCAATCAGGGCACCAGTGTCAGCATGACTGACAGGTCGGGGAACATCTTCTTTGCGCCCAGAGACAGGGTGTCGTTCTCTAAGTGAGTATTGAATCCAGCTATGGAGTTATCATGTACTGTAGGTACCTTAACCACTCAACTAGACATTGATACACATTTAATGGAGAGATGGGAGATTATTCCTAAAAATGTCTGTCATATATAATTCTTAACCTCTGAAAAGAAACAAAGAGACGTAATAGATGCATAGTACACATAAAGGTTATTTAAATAAATAAAAACATGAGCAAAATAGGTGTTGCTTGGGAATTAATGGGTTTGGAATAATGATTTACTATTTCACAGATAAACTTAAAGGTGCAATATGCAGAAATCGCTCCACCATTTCCTGGTTGCTAAAATTCTAATAGTTCGCCTAATTTCAGTTTATGACAAAACAAGAACTCAGAGTGTAGAGAATCATTGTACCATCTAAACCGCTGTGAAATATATCTTCCATAACCAAAAATATTGTATTTTCAGCTCTTTGAAGCTGGTGTACAAAACCGAAAGTAAAAGATGCAATATGAAACTTAAGAGCAGGAAGCATAGAAATAGCGCACATAGAACATATCTACCGCTTCTTAGACTTGCTTTCAATGAGAATGACAGATCTATAATTCACCTTTCTATGTGAAGTTGGTCGGGTCGCCCAAAAAGTTACATATTGCAACTTTAACCCCATCTTCATTCCCTTACTCAATGACTCGATGTGTTTTAGGTTTGACAAGGACAAGCCTGTCAATCAAGAGAAGGCTGTAGCAGTCCCAAAGGAGGACCCCTCCTCAAGCTCCAAGCCCTCGATAGGACTGAAAACACAGGAGGTTAGTGAATAGCAGAACTGGTAGCATTTGTTGTCATAATAGTATGTATTTGCATGTCCATATCTAATAGTCAGACTGATAAAGAGATATTGTGTGGGTGTGGGTGTTCTAAGTGTTTGCATGTGTGTACATATCCTAGAGAGAGAGAGAGACCGACGTAATAAAAAGATGGTGACACAGAAAGCTAGTTGCACAGATTGAAAAAGGAAACATTGGGGCATCCCCAACGACCCTGTCTAGTATCCACAGGTCCTAAAGAGGAAAGCAGCATTCAATGGCCTGTTTCTCAGTGTGTTTCAACTGTTGTTATATCGTTTTTGGTCAACCAGGTCAGCAGGGCGGGCCACAGAAAGAAAGCCCGCATGGCACGGACGCGCTCTGACTTTCTGACCCGCACGCCGACCTCCTCGCTGGGGGGCGAGTCGGAGGAGGATGAGTACGATGGAAAGCCCCCCCACTCCTCCCCTCCCCCCTACATCCCCAACCCTCCCTAAACAGCAGTCCTTTGAGTGTTTCAGTGACTCAGAGATGGTAAAGAAAACAGACCCATACCTAAACCTTGGCCTACACCCCAATTCAACTAATATAAGTTATTCTCTTGTTCCTCTAAGCTTCACAGTGGGACGGCCATCTTTCTTCCCCCTGCTGTTAACCCTCTTTAGCACTGGCTGGGCAGACCTGCTCTACCGACCAACTCAACTAAACAACCTACGCTTTAACTAGATTTTCACTCTTCCGCCGAGCATAAACTGTTTCAACGGTGCTAACACACTCTTCTCTTTAAAACCCGATCAAGGTTCTAGCCTAGCTTAGCCTCTCTCCTCACTTCTTCACAGCCCCGAAGTGATTCTCCTTCTGCACCTCTGTCAGCATAATTAACCATGGCATGTGTTACTGTAGCCTGTTAGCCTGTTAGCTTTCTCTTCTCACCATTAGCCCTGCTTTCTGACCGAACCCTGGGATCCTGGGTCGAAGGTCATCGCTCAACCTTGACCTTCCTCCCCTGATGATCCATTAACACACATTCCTGACCTCTCTACTTCAGTGTAACATAAACTGTCTTTATTGTGCTAGCTGGCTATCCATGTTAGATATACTGCTAGTCAGGTATGCTAGTGAAAAACTGTGAGCTATAGACAGCATTGAAAAATGTTAGTCTTGAGTACAACTGACAACTCAGGCTAGTGGAAGTGCTACATTTTGTCAAGGAATCCATTGTTGTACTGCCATCTACTGGCGTGGGGGAAAAATCCTCCCGTCTCCTGTGAGATACGAAAACATAGACGTAGAGTAACACACTAACTTCAGTTAGTACTGTAGATATTGAAAAGTCTCTTTAATTGTCCTATCTGTTTCTATATGATGATGCTGACATTGTGTCATTCATTGGCGTTTCAGCCTTCCACCAGCTCTGAGGAACAGAAGAAGATGCACAAGGCCATGTCGTCTGGAGATCTGGCCAAAGTTGACACGATACGCAAGAACACCCAGTCAGATGGAAGGTTTGTTCCTGTCATGGTGTCCATTGTAGTCATTTTAATACAGTATACACTGAGTGTACAAAACATTAAGAACACCTTCCTAATATTGAGTTGCACCCCTCCCTCCCTTTTGCCCTTAGAAAAGCCTCAGTTTGTCGGGGTATGGACTCTACAAGGTGTCGAAAGCGTTCCACAGGGACGCTGGCCCATGTTGACTCCAATGCGTCCCACGGTTGTGTCAAGTTGGCTGAATATCCTTTGGGTGTTGGACCATTCTTGATACACATGGGGAAACTGTTGAGCGTGAAAAACCGAGAAGCGTTGCATTTCTTGGCACACTCAAACTGGTCCGCCTGGCACCTACTACCATACCCTGTTCAAAGGCACTTAAATCTGTCTTGCCCATTCACCCTCTGAATGGCACACATACACAGTTCATGTCTAAATTGTCTCAAGGCTTAAAAATCCTTCTTTAACCTGTCTCCTCCCCTTCATCTACAGTCGTGGTCAAAAGTTTTGAGAATGACACAAGTATTGGTCTTCACAAAGTTTGCTGCTTCAGTGTTATGAGATATTTTTGTCAGATGTTACTATGGTATACTGAAGTATAATTACAAGCATTCCATAAGTGTCAAAGGCTTTTATTGACAATTACATTAAGTTTATGCAAAGAGTCAATATTTGCAGTGTTGACCCTTCTTTTTCAAGACCTCTGCAATCCGCCCTGGCATGCTGTCAATTAACTTCTGGGCCACATCCTGACTGATGGCAGCCCATTCTTGGTTAATGAAGCTGTGATCTGTCTCCCACCACCAGGGTTAGGGATAATGAAGCTGTGATCTCTCTCCCACCACCAGGGTTAGGGTTAATGAAGCTGTGATCTGTCTCCCACCACCAGGGTTAGGGATAATGAAGCTGTGATCTATCTCTCCCATCACCAGGGTTAGGGTTAATGAAGCTGTGATCTGTCTCCCACCACCAGGGTTAGGGATAATGAAGCTGTGATCTGTCTCCCACCACCAGGGTTAGGGATAATGAAGCTGTGATCTCTCTCCCACCACCAGGGTTAGGGTTAATGAAGCTGTGATCTGTCTCCCACCACCAGGGTTAGGGTTAATGAAGCTGTGATCTGTCTCCCACCACCAGGGTTAGGGATAATGAAGCTGTGATCTGTCTCCCACCACCAGGGTTCGTGGTAAGATGCGCTTCTGGGGCAAGACGAAGCAGGGCGAGAAGAAGTCATCCAGAGAGAAGCTGTTCTGCGGAGGTGACTCCATGGAGGCAGACGACGGAGACACGGGGCCACTGCTGGGTGAAGGTGGGTGGGGGTTAAAGGGCATCGTGGGGTTCAACAGGTCTAACTGTCAGAAGAAGACACAGTGAAGATCACTTGAGTCTAGACGACTTGAACGAAAGGTGTTAGACTTACTGTCTGTCTGTCTCTCTGTCTGTCTCTCCATCCCTCCCTCCCAGCAGGACAGGATTACATGTCCCCGCCTCGTAGTCCAGACATGACCCTGGAGCGGGGGGCCAAGGAGAACAAGGAGCCCAAAGTGAAGAGGCGGCGTAGCGTCAAGATCAGCAGCGGGGCCCTAGAGCCCGCCCAGTGGGGGAACGACGCTCTGCAGATCCTCACCTGCACCAACGACTACAGGAGCATGAACGACTTCCTCATGAAGAAGGAAAGCTACCACAACACACACACACACACTACACATGCACCACGGACTACAGAGCATGATGACTTCCTCATCACACACACACACACACACACCCCCGGGTGGGGGAGATGGAGGAGGAAAATTGTGCCAAAGAGTCCTAGGGTTAGAGCGATGCTTGGATTAGAGTGGTAGAAATGCCTTGCCAGCACAGGTAGGATAAAATGTAAGAGGAGGGATGCAAAGATGCCAGGGTCGGAGAGAGTTTACTTCTCCATTTCCGCTCCCGGCAGGAGCTGTTCGTAGCTCGCATGAGTCATCAAGCCACGGAGCTGAGGGGAGACCGAGCCGGCCGGGAGGATAGGGGACCAGAGAGTCAAAGGAGCAGAAGGAAGGAGGAGGGTTGAGGAGCAGAATCAGGAGATTCGGAGAACGGATGAGAGAGGGAAGAGTGTAGGATGGTACAGAGTATGGACAGGGAGGAAGGTGCGGAGGCGCATTACCATCGTGGAGGAAGCAGGTGAGTAAGAGTGGAAAAGAGGTTGGAGAAAGAACCAAAGATGGGGAACATGAGGACTGGTTAGATTAGAAGCGCATCGTAAGATGGGGTGCGTAAGGGCCGCTGTGAGTAGGGGGGGACGGTAAGGTCAAAGGTCAAAAGAGGAGAGAAGTGAAAAGAGCAAGAACTGACAAAGTGTGGACATAGGTTGATCTCTCTCCCAACTGAGGGCACCACCTCGAGGAAAGGAATTTCCGCGTCACTCATGTAACTCCAGGACCTGGAGGGGGGTCAAGGATAATAAGTGGACTGCCCAAATCAAGAGTAGACGGTTAGAAGTGAAAGCATGCAGATCGTGCGCCCAGAGCCCCAGGGTGGGGAACTGACGGCTTGGATCTGCTACCTGCCACCAACGAACAGGAGGGATGAACTGGATGTCTCTTGACAAAGGAGTTAGGGTTTAAACCTGGAACCTACCATCACACCACGGCACAATACGGACGCACACCCACCTACCAGGGCGTGTACATCGCTCAGGGCAAAACAGCAAGAGGCAAATACAGCACACACAGAAGCAGCATATGCAGAGGGACGCATGGAGACAGAACACAGGAAGCGAACATACACACACATATAGATACATGCATATGAAGAAACTCAGAAAAACACAAACACACACACACAGAGCGTTATTACATCAGCACGAGGAAGGTGGCGCTTTCAGGTTGACTACCAATATAAATTCTCAATTTGAATTTTGAGCTTTGAACATGATGATGATTTGAATATCAGTATTGAGGTTGTTCAATGTCCAGTCTTAAGTTGTTTTACAAGGCTCATGTACCAAAGCCCTAGAGAATACTTTTATCAAGGAGTTGTTTTTGTTTCATTTAGATCAGTGACCTGGTGGCAGAGGACGGCGGTAAGAAAGACACAATGGTGGACGTGGTGTTCAAAAAGGCCTTGAAGGAGTTCCGCCTCAACATCTTCAACTCCTACTCTACTGCTCTAGCGGTTAGTACGGCAGCGCAACAACCCTGTTAGAATCCGAGGGTCCCTAATACCTATGTATTTACATGTATTACATGCAGTAGTACAGGAACTACGTTACAAGTCCTACATCACCAGATTTAATGACTATACTACAGGTAACACTTTACAAGTAGTGTACCCATTAATACTAGATTTAATGCAGTATTACATGTAAACTTTAACTATCAATAGTGTCTTATACACTATTGTATTTAAATGGCATGTAAGTTAAATGCTAACTACTTTTACAATAGTTGTCATTAATACATATGTTTTAAATGGCAGTAGTTACATGGTAACTACTTTACAATAGTGTCCTTAAATTACCCAGTATTCATTCTTACATGTCTACTAGTTACATGCGTAAACTACTTTACAATAGTGTCCTTAATACCTATGTATTTACATGGCAGTAGTTACATGGTAACTACTTTACAATAGTGTCCTTAATACATATGTATTTAAATGGCAGTAGTTACATGGTAACTACTTTACAATAGTGTCCTTAATACCTATGTATTTAAATGGCAGTAGTGGTTACATGGTAACTACTTTACAATAGTGTCCCATTAATACATATGTATTTTAAATGGCAGTATGTTTACATGGTAACTACTTTACAATAGTGTCCTTAGTACCTTTATGTATTAAATGGCAGTAGTTACATGGTAACTACTTTACAATAGTGTCCTTAATACCTATGTATTTTCATGCTAGTAGTTACATGGTAACTACTTTACAATAGTGTCCTTAATACATATGTATTTACATGGCAGTAGTTACATGGTAACTACTTTACAATAGTGTCCTTAATACCTATGTATTTACATGCTAGTAGTTACATGGTAACTACTTTACAATAGTGTCCTTAATACATAAATTATGTATTTAAATGGCAGTAGTTACCGGCATGTTTTTTTAATGTAAACCTCTTGTTTGTGCTCTCCAGATGGATGATGGGAAGAGTATCCGCTACAAGGACTTGTACGCCCTGTTTGAACAGATCCTGGAGAAGACCATGCGTCTGGAGCAGCGGGACTGGAGCGAGTCGCCTGTCAAGGTCTGGGTCAACACCTTCAAGATCTTTCTGGACGAGTTCATGACCGAGTACAAGCCCATGGACAGCACCATCAGCAAGGTACCACCTCCACCGCTGAACTTCTGTCTGATGCAATGTTGTTATTGTAGCCGTTGGCTATGTAGCTAAGTATCACACTGTGCACTGCATGCTGTCTGAGCTGAAGCCATGGTTTAGGTGGGTTAGCAGTAATGTTGGTAACTGAAGCCATGGTTTAGGTGGGTTAGCAGTAATGTTAGTAGCTGAAGCCATGGTTTAGGTGGGTTAGCAGTAATGTTAGTAGCTGAAGCCATGGTTTAGGTGGGTTAGCAGTAATGTTAGTAGCTGAAGCAATGGTTTAGGTGGGTTAGCAGTAATGTTGGTAACTGAAGCCATGGTTTAGGTGGGTGAGCAGTAATGTTAGTAGCTGAAGCCATGGTTTAGGTGGGTTAGCAGTAATGTTAGTAGCTGAAGCAATGGTTTAGGTGGGTTAGCAGTAATGTTGGTAACTGAAGCCATGGTTTAGGTGGGTTAGCAGTAATGTTAGTAGCTGAAGCCATGGTTTAGGTGGGCTAGCAGTAATGTTAGTAGCTGAAGCCATGGTTTAGGTTGGTTAGCAGTAATGTTAGCAGCTGAAGCCATGGTTTAGGTGGGTTAGCAGTAATGTTAGTAGCTGAAGCCATGGTTTAGGTGGGTTAGCAGTAATGTTAGTAGCTGAAGCCACATTACTGCTAAAGGTGGGTTAGCAGTAATGTTAGTAGCTGAAGCCATGGTTTAGGTGGGTTAGCAGTAATGTTAGTAGCTGAAGCCATGGTTTAGGTGGGTTAGCAGTAATGTTAGTAGCTGAAGCCATGGTTTAGGTGGGTTAGCAGTAATGTTAGTAGCTGCAGGGTGTGTGTGTGTGTGTGTGTGTGTTGTCGGCACAGCACTGCTACAGTGGCTTGGTTAACAGGGTTAGCTGCTGATGTAACTGCTTCCAACACCCAGGTAACTAATTTTAATCCCTGTACGGGTCACATGAAGCCTTGGCTACTATACTTAGCCCCTCTGGAAGAGAGGGTCTGCTGGAAAATAGCATTTTGGTCTTTACGATCTTATTAACTTGTAAGCTACAAGGGTATTACAGTATTTGTTGTTGTCAGAGCTCTGTTATATTTGGTTGTGTTCCCCCAGCAGGTCCCCAAACCTGAGCGCAAAAAGAGGAGGAAAAAAGACGCTGACATTGTGAGTGCCTGCTCTTTCTGTTTCAAACTAGTAGTCAACCATTTTGGTATGAGACTGAGACCAGACTGATCTTAAATGTATAGTCAGTGATGCACGAAGTAAACAGCAAAATCGGGCCGATTTTTCCGCAACAACTAAAAAAGCATTGAAGCACGAGGCGAAACTTCTCCGCTGTTTTGTTCCCGCGGCTATCGCACTGTAGCAGATTGAACCTGCTCGTAGCAACGTCATATCGCGGAGTCTCAATTTAAAACATATTAACCGCCAGTCAGCCATGATTCTCTTTCCTTTAGAAACAAAAGAAAATAGGCCATTAACCAGAACAGACAGGAGAGTCAGAGACTATAGAAAGAATTAATGTCAACATAAACTCTCCTTGGCTCTTTTCTTCCCTCCTCTCCACTGCCCCCTACAGGTGGAGGAACACAATGGCCATATTTTCAAGGCCACCCAGTACAGCATCCCCACCTACTGCGAGTACTGCTCCTCTCTTATCTGGATGATGGACAGGGCCTGCGTCTGCAAATGTGAGTACTCGCGCACACACACACACAACACACGCACGCAAGCACACACACACACACACAGACTCACACATTATTACTGTGCATGTCCTCAGCTGCCCTTTGGCCAAGCTTTGAGCTGTGGCCCCTCCTAACCCCTCCTACTAATCAGATTGTGTTCAACTGGACTCGTGGTCTGCAGCTCCTCATCCTCCACAGTTTTCTCAAGCAGCAGTCAGAAAGGATGTTTTCTCCTCCCTGGCCAATGTTGCCTCTGTCTCTTAGCCCTGTAGTCAGTTAGCTAGCGCCCATAACAGTTAGTTTTTCCTCCCTTGGTAACAATGCGGAGGCACTGTCTTTCGGTGGAAAATGGCGCTGACTTGCATTTCTCTGGCTGTGTTTATCCAGTGTGTCGCTACGCCTGCCACAGAAAGTGCTGCCTGAAGCTGACCACGAAATGCAGCAAAAAGGTGAGACTACCTATACTAGATCAACGGACACCGACAACTACCTATTCTAGATCAACGGACACCGACAACTACCTATACTAGATCAACGGACACCGACAACTACCTATACTAGATCAACGGACACCGACAACTACCTACAGTGGGGAGAACAAGTATTTGATACACTGCCGATTTTGCAGGTTTTCCTACTTACAAAGCATGTAGAGGTCTGTAATTTTTATCATAGGTACACTTCAACTGTGAGAGACGGAATGTAAAACAAAAATCCAGAAAATCACATTGTATGATTTTTAAGTAATTAATTTGCATTTTATTGCATGACATAAGTATTTGATCACCTACCAACCAGTAAGAATTCCGGCTCTCACAGACCTGTTAGTTTTTCTTTAAGAAGCCCTCCTGTTCTCCACTCATTACCTGTATTAACTGCACCTGTTTGAACTCGTTACCTGTATAAAAGACACCTGTCCAAACACTCAATCAAACAGACTCCAACCTCTCCACAATGGCCAAGACCAGAGAGCTGTGTAAGGACATCAGGGATAAAATTGTAGACCTGCACAAGGCTGGGATGGGCTACAGGACAATAGGCAAGCAGCTTGGTGAGAAGGCAACAACTGTTGGCGCAATTATTAGAAAATGGAAGAAGTTCAAGATGACGGTCAATCACCCTCGGTCTGGGGCTCCATGCAAGATCTCACCTCGTAGGGCATCAATGATCATGAGGAAGGTGAGGGATCAGCCCAGAACTACATGGCAGGACCTGGTCAATGACCTGAAGAGAGCTGGGACCACAGTCTCAAAGAAAACCATTAGTAACACACTACGCCGTCATGGATTAAAATCCTGCAGCGCACGCAAGGTCCCCCTGCTCAAGCCAGCGCATGTCCAGGCCCGTCTGAAGTTTGCCAATGACCATCTGGATGATCCAGAGGAGGAATGGGAGAAGGTCATGTGGTCTGATGAGACAAAAATAGAGCTTTTTGGTCTAAATCCACTCGCCGTGTTTGGAGGAAGAAGAAGGATGAGTACAACCCCAAGAACACCATCCCAACCGTGAAGCATGGAGGTGGAAACATAATTCTTTGGGGATGCTTTTCTGCAAAGGGGACAGGACGACTGCACCGTATTGAGGGGAGGATGGATGGGGCCATGTATCGCGAGATCTTGGCCAACAACCTCCTTCCCTCAGTAAGAGCATTGAAGATGGGTCGTAGCTGGGTCTTCCAGCATGACAACGACCCGAATCACACAGCCAGGGCAACTAAGGAGTGGCTCCGTAAGAAGCATCTCAAGGTCCTGGAGTGGCCTAGCCAGTCTCCAGACCTGAACCCAATAGAAAATCTTTGGAGGGAGCTGAAAGTCCGTATTGCCCAGCGACAGCCCCGAAACCTGAAGGATCTGGAGAAGGTCTGTATGGAGGAGTGGGCCAAAATCCCTGCTGCATTGTGTGCAAACCTGGTCAAGACCTACAGGAAACGTATGATCTCTGTAATTGCAAACAAAGGTTTCTGTACCAAATATTAAGTTCTGCTTTTCTGATGTATCAAATACTTATGTCATGCAATAAAATGCAAATTAATTACTTAAAAATCATACAATGTGATTTTCTGGTACACTCTCACAGTTGAAGTGTACCTATAATAAAAATGACAGACCTCTACATGCTTTGTAAGTAGGAAAACCTGCAAAATCGGCAGTGTATCAAATACTTGTTCTCCCCACTGTATACTAGATCAACGGACACCGACAACTACCTATACTAGATCAACGGACACCGACAACTACCTATACTAGATCAACGGACACCGACAACTACCTATACTAGATCAACGGACACCGACAATTATTCAGTAGAAGGTGTGTGTGTGTGTCCACATGCACTCCTACATCTCTTATGTCTGTGTGTGTGTGTGTGTGTGTGGTGTGTGTGTGTGCGCGTGTGTGTGTGCGCGTGCAGTACGACCCAGAGCTGTCATCCAGGCAGTTTGGGGTGGAGGTGTCCCGTCTGACCAATGAGGAGAGGACAGTGCCCCTGATGGTGGAGAAGCTCATCAACTACATCGAGATGCACGGCCTCTACACCGAGGGCATCTACAGGAAGTCTGGCTCCACCAATAAGATCAAAGAGCTCAAGCAGGGACTGGACACAGGTACTGTATACATGCTAACAGAGACCAGGGGGAGGCAATTACGCTAATGGCTATTTGCTAATGAAAATGTCAATGCTATGGCTAAAGGCTAATGCTAACTTCAACACGGGATGCTTGTTTCATTCTGACATTTTGGCCATTTGTACACACAGACGTGAACAGCATGAACCTGGATGACTACAACATCCACGTTATCGCTAGTGTCTTCAAGCAGTGGCTCCGGGACCTGCCCAATCCGCTTATGACCTTTGAACTATACGAGGAGTTCCTCCGCGCCATGTGTAAATACTCCTAACTTCCTGTCATTTCATGTCTGAGAAATGTATACTCCTTACTTCTTTTATTTCTGTATGTAGTTCAACTTCATTGTTGGACATTGAAAATAACTTCTCTCACTGATGAATATATCAAAAACTGAATCAAAAACCCCATGAAAAATATAATCAATATGTTTGGTGATGAATGTGTTTGCAGGCTTGCAGGACAGGAAGGAGGTGATTCGAGGGGTCTACTCTATCATCGACCAGCTAAGTAGAACTCACCTGAACACCCTGGAGCGGCTCTTCTTCCACCTAGTCAGGTAACACGCTTTCTACTCTCTCTCTCCCACTGCTATCTACTGTAGCAATTGGACGTCACATCAAATCAAAAGGAAAACGCAAGACAGAAGATTCATACAATAGCAGAACATTTCTGTAATGTCCTAACTCTTAAGCCTATCACCTTGAGTAAGAAGCTGGAACCAAACGTCACACATGTATTATACCTAGAGTGCCTTCACAAAGTATTCATACCCCTTGACTTATTCTACATTTTGTTGTGTTACAGCTTGAATTCAAAATGGATTCAATTAATTTTTTCTCTCACCCATCTACACACAATACCTCATAATGATTGATAACATGTTTGTAGACATTTTTGCAAATGTATTGAACATGAAATACAGAAATATCTCATTTACGTAAGTATTCACACCCCTGAGTCAATACATGTTAGAATCACCTTTGGCAGAGATTACAGCTGTGAGTGTTTCTGGGTAATATGTCTCTAAGAGCTTTGCACACCTGGATTGTACAATATTTTCACATTATTCTTTTTAAATTCTTCAAGCTCTGTTGGTTGTTGATCTTTGCTAGACAGCCGTTTTCAAGTCTTGCAATAGATTTTCAAGCTGATTTAATTAAAAACGAACTAGGCCACTCAGGAACATTCCATTTCATCTTGGTAAGCAACTCCAGTGTATATTTGTGTTTTAGGTTATTGTCCTGCTGAAAGGTGAATTCATCTCCCAGTGTCTGGTGGAAAGCAGACTGAACCAGGGTTTCCTCTAGGGTTTTGCCTGTGCTTGGCTCTATTCCATGTATATTTTAACATTTTATTTTACTCCCTAGTCCTTGCTGATGAATAGCGTACCCATAATATGATGCAGCCACCACCATGCTTGGAGCCACCACCATGCTTGAAAATATGAAGTGTGGTACTCAGTGATGTGTTGTGTTGGAAATGCCCCAAACATAACGCTTTGTATTCAGGACTTACAGTTAATTTCTTTGCCAAACAGGAGCATGTTTTGGAGTATTTTTTCTGCAGCTTCTTTTTCACTTTAGTTAGGTGGAGTAACACATTGTTGATCCATCCTCGTTTTCTCCCTCACAATTAACTCGTAATGTTTTAAAGTCACAGGCCCCGATGTTTCTCTCTCTGGCAGAGTAGGAGGAGCTGTATCTGAGTATGAGTGTATTGATACCCCCCAAGTTACATAAGTCACAGCTCAAGGATATTCATGTCCTTTTTTTTAATGTACCCATATTCAATAGGTGCCTTCTTGCAGGCTTGGATATGTGGAGTACTCATGTTGTGTACAGTCCTGCGTTTTCTCCCATCCGCCAAAATCTGTACTGTTTAAAGTCATTGGCCCCTGAGTGGTTCCTTCCTCTCTGGCACGAGTTAGGAACAACTTTGATCTTTGGTGACTGAGTGTATTGGCTACACCACCCAAAGGTAACTAATACTTCACCATGCTCAAAGGGATTTGCAATTCTGCTTTTTTAATTGTAAAATATATCATAGGTCATCTTGCAAGCATAAACATCCCTGGACTTATGTGGTTGAATCGGTTGAAACACTACTCTCAATTAGGACTTACAGATATTGAATTCAGCGATGACACAAAAATGTTAAAAAAGTCACAGAGTGTGAGAATATCTTCTAAGGACTATGTTCCGGGTGTAATACTCCCAGGATTGGGCAAACACAACCGTATGTCCAAACGCCACTTGACATTGTTTCGCCCCCTGCATCCTCGCTGTCCTGACACAAAATCCCCTGCAGAGTGTCCAGGACATCGGCAAGACACGGCAGACCACAGCGTGAGACCTACGTCACAGGTACGTGAATGCTATAGTATCTACTGTGCTATAGATCCTATGCTGCCTATAGATCCTACTGCTGCTGCTATAGATCACTGCTGCTCTATAGATCCTTATAGTCTCTTGCTCTATAGTATCCTACTGCTGCTGCTATAGTCTACTGCTGCTACTATGTATCTACTGCTGCTGTATAGATCCTACTGCTGCTAAGAATCCTACGCTGCTGCTATAGATCTACTGCTGCTAATATCCTACTGCTGCTGTATAGATCCTATGCTGCTCTATAGTATCCTACTGCTGCTGCTATAGATCTACTTGCTGCTATAGATCCTACTGCTGCTATAGTATCCTACTGCTGCTCTATATCTATCTGCTAGAATTATACCTCTGCTGCTACTATATCCTACTGCTGCTGCTATAGTATCCTACTCTCTATAGACCTCTGCTGCTATAATCCTACTGCTGCTGCTATAGACCTACTGCTGCTAGTATTATCTACTGCTGCTACTATATATCCTACTGCTGCTGCTATAGTATCCTACTGCTGCTGCTATAGTATCCTACTTGTGCTATATATCCTACTGCTGCTATATGATCCTACTGCTAGTCTGCTGCTCATAGATCCTACTGCTTGCTATAGTATCCTACTGCTGCTACTATAGTATCCTACTTGCTTCTACTATAGTATCCTACTTGCTGACTATAGTATCCTACTGCTGTGCTATAGATCTTCTGCTGCTATAGTACTACTGCTGCTAGCTATCTACGCTGTGCTATAGTATCCTACTGCTGCTTATAGACTACTGCTGCTATAGCTATGTTATCCTACTGCTGCTGCTATGAGTATCCTATGCTGCTGCTATAGTATATCCTAGCTACGTGCTAAGTACCTACTGCTGCTATGATCTACTCTGTAGTATCCTACTGCTGCTGCTATAGACTACTGCTGCTATAGTATCCTATGCTGCTACTATAGTCCTACTGCTGCTGCTGCTATAGTATCACTGCTGCTCTCTGCATAGTATCCTACTGCTGCTGCTATGAGCATCCTAACTGCTGCTGCTATAGTATCCTACTGTGCTGCTATAGATCCTACTGCTGCTATAGTATCCTCTGCTTGTCTGCTTATAGTATCCTACTGCTTGCTGCTTATAGGATCTACTTGCTATAGATCCTACTGCTGCTGCTATAGTATCCTACTGCTGCTATACACTGATTATCCTACTGCTGCTCTATAGTATCCTACTGCGCTGCTATAGGATCTACTACTGCTATAGATCCTACTGCTGCTGCTATAGATCCTACTGCTGCTGCTATAGTATCCTACTGCTGCTCTATAGTAACCTACTTGCTCTAAGTATCCTACTGCCTGCTATAGTATCCTACTGCTGCTGCTATAGTACCTACTGCTCTATAGATCTACTGCTGTGCTATAGACTATGGCTTCTACTGCTGCTATAGTATCCTACTGCTGCTGCTATAGTATCCTACTGCTATGATACTGCGCTGCTATAGTATCCTACTGCTGCTACTATAGTATCCTACTGCTGCTATAGTATCTACTGCTGCTGCTATAGTATCCTACTGCTGCTGCTATAGTATCCTACTTGCTGGCTGCTATAGATCTACTGCTGCTATAGACCTACTGCTGCTACTATAGTATCCTACTGCTGCTACTATAGGATCCTACTGCTGCTGCTATAGTATCCTACTGCTGCTATAGTATCCTACTGCTGCTGCTATAGTATCCTACTGCTGCTGCTATAGTACTACTGTGTATAGTTCCTATGCTCTATAGTATCTATCTGCTGCTATAGATCCATGCCTATAGTCTACTGCTGCTATAGATCCTACTGGCTATAGCTATGCTGCTATAGTATCCTACTGCTGCTGCTATAGTATCCTACTGCTGCTGCTATAGTATCCTACTTGCTGTCTGCTATAGTATCCTACTGCTGCTGCTATAGTATCCTACTGCTGCTGCTATAGTATCCTACTGTCTAGATCTCGCTTTATATCTACTCTGCTGCTTAGATCCTACTGCTGCTGCTATAGTATCCTACTGCTGCTACTATAGTATCCTACTGCTGCTACTATAGTATCCTACTGCTGCTGCTATAGATCGCTACTGCTGAGCTATCAATATCCTACTGCTGACTAGCTATACGTCTAACTTGCTGCTGCTATAGTATCCTACTGCTGCTGCTATAGTATCCTACTGCTGCTGCCTATAGTATTCTACTGCTGCTGCTATTAGTGATCCTACTGCTGGCTGCTATAGTATCCTACCTGCTGCTGCTATAGTCTACTGCTGCTCTATAGTATCTCGCTATTACTACTGCTGCTATAGTATCCTACTGCTGCTGCTGATAGTATCCTACTGCTGCTGCTATAGTAATCCTACTGCTGCTGCTATAGTATCCTACTGCTGCTGCTATAGTATCCTACTGGCTGCTATATATCCTACTAGCTGCTGCTATATATCCTACTTGCTGCTATAGTATCTACTGCTGCTTAATCTATGACCTGCTGCTATAGTACCTACTGCTGCTACTATATAGTTCCTACTGCTGCTGCTATAGTATCCTACTGCTGCTACTATAGTAAGTCAATCCTACTGCTGCTATAGATCTACGCTCTGCTATAGTATCCTACTGCTGCTGCTATAGTAACCTACTTGTTGCTATAGTATCTACTGCTGCTGCTATAGTAACCTACTGATTGCTGCTATAGTATCCTACTGCTGCTACTATAGTATCCTACTGCTGCTGCTATAGTATCCTACTGCTGCTGCTATAGTATCCTACTGCTGCTGCTATAGTATCCTACTGCTGCTGCTATAGTATCCTACTGCTGCTGCTATAGTATCCTACTGCTGCTATAGTATCCTACTGCTGCTGCTATAGTATCCTACTGCTGCTGCTATAGGATCCTACTGCTGCTGCTATATGATCCTACTGCTGCTGCTATAGTACTATTGATGCTATAGTATCCTACTGCTGCTGCTATAGTATCCTACTGCTGCTGCTATAGTATCCTACTGCTGCTGCTATAGTATCCTACTGCTGCTGCTATAGGATCCTACTGCTGCTGCTATAGGATCCTACTGCTGCTGCTATAGTATCCTACTGCTGCTGCTACTAGATATCCTACTGCTGCTGCTATAGTATCCTACTGTGCTGCTATAGTACCTGCTATAGTATCCTACTGCTGCTGCTATAGTATCCTACTGCTGCTGCTATAGTACTGCTATTGCTGCTATAGTATCCTACTGCTGCTGCTATAGTATCCTACTGCTGCTACTATAGTATCCTACTGCTGCTGCTATAGTATCCTACTGCTGCTGCTATAGTAACCTACTTGTTGCTATAGTATCCTACTGCTGCTACTATAGTACCTACTGCTGCTGCTATAGATCCTACTGCTGCTGCTATAGTATCCTACTGCTGCTGCTATAGTATCCTACTGCTGCTGCTATAGTATCCTACTGCTGCTGCTATAGTATCCTACTGCTGCTGCTATAGTATCCTACTGCTGCTGCTATAGTATCCTACTGCTGCTGCTATAGTAATCCTACTGCTGCTGCTATAGTGATCCTACTGCTGCTGCTATAGTATCCTACTTGCTGCTGCTATAGTATCCTACTGCTGCTGCTATAGTATCCTACTGCTGCTGCTATAGTATCCTACTGCTGCTGCTATAGGATCCTACTGTGCTGCTATAGTATCCTACTGCTGCTGCTATAGTATCCTACTGCTGCTGCTATAGTATCCTACTGCTGCTGCTATAGTATCCTACTGCTTGCTACTATAGTATCCTACTGCTGCTGCTATAGTACCTTATTGCTGCTATATACCTACTGCTGCTGCTATAGATCCTAACTGCTGCTACTATAGGATCCTACTGCTGCTGCTATAGTATCCTACTGCTGCTGCTATAGTATCCTACTGCTGCTGCTATAGCATCCTACTGCTGCTGCTATAGTATCCTACTGCTGCTACTATAGGTCTATCCTACTGCTGCTGCTATAGATCCTACTGCTGCTGCTGCTTCTATTAGTATCCTACTGATGCTGCTGCTTATCCTACTTGCGATCCTACTGGCTGGATGCTGCTGTATAGATCCTATGCTGTGCTTCGCTACTATAGGATCCTACTGCTGCTACTATAGTATCCTACTGCTGCTCTTAGATCTACTGCTGATAGTATCCTACTGCTGCTATAGCTGCTATATAGATCCTCTAATAGACCTACTGCTTCTGCTATAGTATCTACTGCTGCTATAGATCGATACCTACTGCTGCTGCTATAGTATCCTACTGGCTCTTAGATACTGTATATCCTATTGTGCTATGCCTACTGTTATAGGATCTATGCTGTGCTATAGTATCCTACTGCGCTACTATAGTATCCTACTTGCTGCATATGATCCTACTGCTGACTATAGGATCCTACTGCTGCTATAGGATCCTACTGCTGCTGCTATAGTATCCTACTGCTGCTATAGTATCCTACTGCTACTATAGGATCCTACTGCTGCTGCTATAGTATTACATTGATGTAGTAGACTGTAATATGACCATGGCTCTTCCTGTTCTAGGTGTGTGGAGCTCATCATTGGTGAGCAGATGAATAAGTACCGCGCCCGGCTAAAGGACATCAACAGTCTGGAGTTTGCCGAGAACAAAGCCAAGTGCAAGCTGACCCTCATTCGGAGGTCAATGGTAAAGTCAAAGGTTATAGCTGGTCATCACCACTATCTACAGGCTGTATTTAACAAGACATCAGCTCTCATCAATAGTAGTTTTAACAAACCCCAACTAGCTAACCTATCCTGTTAAAACACCCTTCTTAAATTGACCCTCCCAACTAGCTAACCTATCCTGTTAAAACACCCTTCTTAAATTGACCCTCCCATCTAGCTAACCTATCCTGTTAAAACACCCTTCTTAAGTCAGCCTACCTTGAACCTCCTCCTCCTCTTCTAACCCTGTTTTCTCCCATTTTAATCCTGTCATTTCCCTTCCTTTCTTTTTCCTTCCTAATCCAGAAACCTGTACTAATTGCTGTTAGATTTATGACCATAGCCCGCAGTACTGTCCCGGTATGTATCCACTCACTGTTACTCAGCCCAACCCCACCTAATCATGGTCATCCTCCTGTCAGCCATTTTGTTGTGTATTGATCACTGCCCACCTCGTCCTAATGCCAGGGTCTGCCCGGTGTCCTCCATCCTCACAACATGGCGCCACCTCACTTCGACCTTCTATCTCTTTCTCACTTTCCTCCTGACCTTGGGGTCAAAATTTGGGAAATGATGTCCTCCACTTATTTTGTTATCTCTCGTGGACAGACTACTTATTATGTAATATCATGTAATATAACCTATTCGTAATAGAATTTCTTAGATTTGCTGCCTCTTGTCCCATGACTACGGTTAACCAAGATTACTTATTATGTAATAACATGTAATATAACCTATTCGTAATAGAATTTCTTAGATTGGCTGCCTCTTGTCCCATGATCCAATCAAAGATCTGCTCAACTACATGTACTGTAGACCGTAGCAGATCTTTGGTATTAAAGCAATTCCAGGAGAAATGTCCTCACAACACAAACAGACCTGCTGGATCATCACAAGTTAGCTTTATGGAGGCTTTGTATGAGGTTAGGGACCAAATACTGTCCAGTGTCTTTGGCCTCATTTTCACTTTTATATTCTCTTTTGCTTCTCAATTGTTTGTACCACGCAGCCAAACGCAGCCAAAAAGGTAACCCATGCAGCATCCAACATGATTTTGTGATTGGGTGTCTGCTGTGGCTGCTGGTTGTTAGACTGCATGTGTGAGTGGGGAGCATGAGTCTTGGGGTTGTTGTGGGTTTAAAAGGCAAACTATGGAACACATTGATGTTTCAAGTATTACAATTGTGTATTACAAAGTAAAAAAATATTGTGCATGTGCTGGTGATTGGTCTATCATGTACCGTCAATGTAACTTGGTGGAAGGGGCCTCCTTGTAGTAGGTAGGTAGGAGTAACAGTTGCTGGCTATACAACCTGAAATAGAATTTGCTACCAGATGCTGTCATTTTCCCCTGCTTTGCTATTCTTGTCATGAATCAGGACAATCCTACACCAGGACAATTGCTGGCATTAGCCTAAGCTAACATAAGCTAACACTAACTTCCCCCTAACTGACTGTTTTGTGCTTTGTTTCGCAGGGCAAGGGCCACGTTCGGCGGTTCAGCTACCACACGCCCTCGCCCCCGGTTAGCCCGCGCCTGCCGTCCGTGACGGGTGCAGTGATGCAGGAGAGCGGCGGTGAGGAGGTGGGGGCCGGGCTGGAGCCTGAGGTATCAGAGCACCAGCGGTTGGCCATGCAGCAGGAGGAGAGGGTGCTGACGGAGCAGATCGAGAGCCTGCAGAAAGAGAAGTACCTTATTTTGCATTGTACCTACAGTAGAATTTTGGAGGGGGCTCCCTCAGTCAATGTACAACTGATATTGTTGTACAATGAAAAGCGTGTTATAAAATAAATGTATAAATACAGTATTATACCTATACCTACAGGAGATTTGAGAAATCTCAAATAAATGGAAAAGTATACTTAAAATTAGGAAGATGAATGATTAAAACTATCATTGTGTTTTTCTTCTGCATTGACCTCACCCATGTTTGTCCCCACAGGGAGGAGCTAACCTTTGAGATGCTGACTTTGGAGCAGCGAGGATCAGACGATGAGACCCTGGAATCGGAGGCGTCCATCGGCACGGCCGACAGCTCAGAGAATCTCAACGTGGACACTGAAGGAGCCACCTCCGACTTCTCCGGTATGCCATGATATTAAACAGTACCATGGTGAACCTGTTTGGAAAATGCTTGTTAAAACTTGTGGTTATATTTTAAGTTTCTCTCTACAATTCTGTGTAGCAAAAGGAGACGTGAGTAAAAAAGGTGTGTCATTTAGTTGAAACATTGCACCATGGTCTGACCTCTGACCTTTTTAGGTCCCTCAGAGAGAGGCCCCACGCTGGCCGCCATCGCCCAGCCCAAGAGGTCAGAGGGGAAGAGCCACCGCCGCCGCAACCTACGCAGGCAACCAGACTCCCAGGACTCAGTGGACTCCTGTTCCTCCCTCTCCTCCCTCTCCTCCTCCTCCCACTACCACCCGCCCTCTTCCTCCTCTGTGGCCACAGCTCGCCACTTTCGCTACCGCTCCAAGTCGCCCTCCTCTGGCTCTGGCTCCACCCATGGCGCCCAGAGCTTGTACCCGACCCAGCCTCCCCGCCGCGACAGCATGGACTGTGTCCCCCTGGCCGAACAGGAGGGGGCGTTCGAAGAGAGGTCACAGTTCACCAGCCGAGGCACCTTTAACCCAGAGAAGGGCAAACAGAAACTGAAAGGGTCCAAGAACTCACCCCTGAGGCACTCCCATGACAGTGGGGGCCACAGCAGGGATCCGCCTGACTTACCCCAGCAGCTGGTTTTGTACGGCAGCAATGAGTTCATGGTATGAAGGACAGTGGGAACACCTCCTGCGTCACAGCCCACTCTCCCTACCCCCCGGCCAGCACCCAAGCTCACGAAAAAGGGTGAAGAGCATGCGATCTGACCCCCTTCCTCAAACACTCCAGCTCACCCTTTCTCAGTCTACGTCCGCAACAATGCAGAACTGTCCCCCTAAGTGCCATGTACACACAGTACTGTGTGTCCACCTCAAAACAGACAGGAGAGGGAGAGGCTGGGAGTGGGAGAGGAGGAACCAGTAGAAGGGTTGATCTCCTGTGGCCTTAACAGCCAACCACACTCCCCATGGTCCCTCTGCAGGTCTGGGCCTCCCTCAGCCCAGGGGAGAGGGGACGTGTGGAGCAGGAGAAAAGGGAATACTGGGACACTGGGAGAGGACCACTCAGCATCCGGGAGATTTCCCGAGTTGACGTCCCAATGCCAACTAGGAGGTGGAACGAGGCTTGAAGACGAAGAAAAGAAAAGGCTACCGAGCCGTTGACAGAGCTGCCGTGTCCATGAACTTGAGTTCTCAATCATTGGCTGCTTTTAAGTTTACAGTTCAAAACAATCAATGTAAGCAGTGGTTCCTCTATTATTACAAATGTATTTTTCCCTTAAGCCTATTTAATAAATTTTAATTTCATGGAAAGTATAAATCTATATAACTATATTAGAAAGGTATAAATACTGTACAAAGCCGGAACACCAGTAACTGCTGGGTAGTTGAAGTCAAATATTTATCTTTTTCTTGAGTATCTTGGGCAGAGATGTATGGTATTGGGCAAAGGCTGTGTACGTGTGCGTGCTTGAGTGTCAATTTGTGCTGGTGTGTGTATGAGAAGACCACTCCATGTTTTTAAGTTTGCGCTGCTTTGTTCCTCTCCTGAGGGAAATACCGCCATGAAAGGGACCAAGTTAGCTGGTGTTTCTTCCAGCCAAGGGGATCCCAGCTCTGTAAAGAATGTCGGATGTGTATAAAATCACTGCATTCACTGCTTAACAGCCACACAACAATTAGAATGTACAGTACAATATGTATTGGACAAATGCCATTCTCCTTTCTCTGGATACATGTTACCCCCAAATCCTTGTCTTCCTGAGATATCAGTGTTGGACTCAATAGCAACCAAACAAGGACATGAACTTTCTTGTCTTTTGTCATTATTCTTAACGTTTCTTGTTTTTTTATGGGTGTATTAGTTTAAAAAATGTATTGGGATAGTTTTATGTGGAGATGTCATTTTGGACAGTCAGCTGTTATTCAGGCAACAGTCAAAAGCCTCCTTTCAGTTTAAAACTCACTTTTTGTAACACTATCAGAGTTGAAATATAAATTCCTTATCAGTTATCAGAGATTCGAAGATCAAAAAAACAATATTCAAACACCTCACAGTTCTAAGTGTTTGAGGGTGAAAATGTCAGAAGGCCACAACAGTGTAAAAGGTTGTTAGTTATAGTTATACCAAACAGTATTTTCCTAATACTGCACGGTACTGGAATGAGCTTCAATTCAGAGGTTCAGAATCAGAATTGTGTTTATCATACAAGAGGAAAATCTTGGCACAGCTCACACATCGCATACACAAAACATAATAATATTATTATTCAATAGGTTGATCATACTAGTGCAGTGTACATGATCACCGAACAGTAGAAATTTATTATTATTATTATTATTAATAAATATAATATAACATTTAGCTGACGCTTTTATCCAAAACGACTTAAAGGCATGCGTGCATACATTTTACGTATGGTTAGTCCTGTCATTATTAATAATAATACTACTACTTTACAATAGTTAGTGTATTGATCAGTTGGAATGGAATACCTCCACCAGATGTGATATGACTGCTTCAGACTCTTTCAGTTGGAATGGAATACCTCCACCAGATGTGATATGACTGCTTCAGACTCTTTCAGTTGGAATGGAATACCTCCACCAGATGTGATATGACTGCTTCAGACTCTTTCAGTTGATGGATCTTATTAGCTCTTCTCGCTCCAACCATCAAATCAAATTTTATTTGTCACATACAGTACATGTCCTACTTCCTGACAAAGCTCTAACCATAACAGTACGTCCTACTATACACTTCCTGACAATGCTCTAACCATAACAGTACGTCCTACTATACACTTCCTGACAAAGCTCTAACCATAAAAGTACGTCCTACTATACACTTCCTGACAAAGCTCTAACCATAACAGTACGTCCTACTATACACTTCCTGACAAAGCTCTAACCATAACAGTACGTCCTACTGTACACTTCCTGACAAAGCTCTAACCATAACAGTACGTCCTACTGTACACTTCCTGACAAAGCTCTAACCATAACAGTACGTCCTACTGTACACTTCCTGACAAAGCTCTAACCATAACAGTACGTCCTACTGTACACTTCCTGACAAAGCTCTAACCATAACAGTACGTCCTACTGTACACTTCCTGACAAAGCTCTAACCATAACAGTACGTCCTACTGTACACTTCCTGACAAAGCTCTAACCATAACAGTACGTCCTACTGTACACTTCCTGACAAAGCTCTAACCATAACAGTACGTCCTACTGTACACTTCCTGACAAAGCTCTAACCATAACAGTACGTCCTACTGTACACTTCCTGACAAAGCTCTAACTATAACAGTACGTCCTACTGTACACTTCCTGACAAAGCTCTAACCATAACAGTACGTCCTACTGTACACTTCCTGACAAAGCTCTAACCATAACAGTACGTCCTACTATACACTTCCTGACAAAGCTCTAACCATAACAGTACGTCCTACTATACACTTCCTGACAAAGCTCTAACCATAACAGTACGTCCTACTATACACTTCCTGACAAAGCTCTAACCATAACAGTACGTCCTACTGTACACTTCCTGACAAAGCTCTAACCATAACAGTACGTCCTACTGTACACTTCCTGACAAAGCTCTAACCATAACAGTACGTCCTACTATACACTTCCTGACAAAGCTCCAACCATAACAGTACATGTCCTACTATACACTTCCTGACAAAGCTCTAACCATAACAGTACGTCCTACTATACACTTCCTGACAAAGCTCTAACCATAACAGTACGTCCTACTATACACTTCCTGACAAAGCTCTAACCATAACAGTACATCCTACTATACACTTCCTGACAAAGCTCTAACCATAACAGTACATGTCCTACTATACACTTCCTGACAAAGCTCTAACCATAACAGTACGTCCTACTATACACTTCCTGACAAAGCTCTAACCATAACAGTACGTCCTACTATACACTTCCTGACAAAGCTCTAACCATAACAGTACATGTCCTACTATACACTTCCTGACAAAGCTCTAACCATAACAGTACAGTGGGGAGAACAAATATTTGATACACTGCCGATTTTGCAGGTTTTCCTACTTACAAAGCATGTAGAGGTCTGTAATTTTTATCATAGGTACACTTCAACTGTGAGAGACGGAATCTAAAACAAAAATCCAGAAAATCACATTGTATGATTTTTAAGTAATTAATTTGCATTTTATTGCATGACATAAGTATTTGATCACCTACCAACCAGTAAGAATTCTGGCTCTCACAGACCTGTTAGTTTTTATTTAAGAAGCCCTCCTGTTCTCCACTCATTACCTATATTAACTGCAACTGTTTGAACTCGTTACCTGTATAAAAGACACCTGTCCACACACTCAATCAAACAGACTCCAACCTCTCCACAATGGCCAAGACCAGAGAGCTGTGTAAGGACATCAGGGATAAAATTGTAGACCTGCACAAGGCTGGGATGGGCTACAGGACAATAGGCAAGCAGCTTGGTGAGAAGGCAACAACATTTACATTTTTACATTTACGTCATTTAGCAGACGCTCTTATCCAGAGCGACTTACAGTTAGTGAATACATTTTTATTTTTTCATACTGGTCGCCCGTGGGAATCGAACCCACAACCCTGGCGTTGCAAACGCCATGCTCTATCAACTGAGCTACATCCCTGCCGGCCATTCCCTCCCCTACCCTGGACAACGCTAGGCCAATTGTGCGCTGCCATGAGTCTCCCGGTCGCGGCCGGCTGGGACAGAGCCTGGATTCGAACCAGGATCTCTAGTGGCACAGCTAGCACTGCGATGCAGTGCCTTAGACCACTGCGCCACTCAGGAGTATTGTTGGCGCAATTATTATAAAATGGAAGAAGTTCAAGATGACGGCCAATCAACCTCGGTCTGGGGCTCCATGCAAGATCTCACCTCGTGGGGCATCAATGATCATGAGGAAGGTGAGGGATCAGCCCAGAACTACACGGCAGGACCTGGTCAATGACCTCAAGAGAGCTGGGACCACAGTCTCAAAGAAAACCATTAGTTACACACTACGCCGTCATGGATTAAAATCCTGCAGCGCACGCAAGGTCCCCCTGCTCAAGCCAGCGCATGTCCAGGCCCGTCTGTAGTTTGCCAATGACCATCTGGATGATCCAGAGGAGGGATGGGAGAAGGTCATGTGGTCTGATGAGACAAAAATAGAGCTTTTTGGTCTAAACTCCAATCGCCGTGTTTGGAGGAAGAAGAAGGATGAGTACAACCCCAAGAACACCATCCCAACCGTGAAGCATGGAGGTGGAAACATCATTCTTTGGGGATGGGGCCATGTATCGCGAGATCTTGGCCAACAATCTCCTTCCCTCAGTAAGAGCATTGAAGATGGGTCGTGGCTGGGTCTTCCAGCATGACAATGACCCGAAACACACAGCCAGGGCAACTAAGGAGTGGCTCCGTAAGAGGCATCTCAAGGTCCTGGAGTGGCCTAGCCAGTCTCCAGACCTGAACCCAATAGAAAATCTTTGGAGGGAGCTGAAAGTCCGTATTGCCCAGCGACAGCCCCGAAACCTGAAGGATCTGGAGAAGGTCTGTATGGAGGAGTGGGCCAAAATCCCTGCTGCAGTGTGTGCAAACCTGGTCAAGACCTACAGGAAACGTATGATCTCTGTAATTGCAAAGGTTTCTGTACCAAATATTAAGTTCTGCTTTTCTGATGTATCAAATACTTATGTCATGCAATAAAATGCAAATTAATTACTTAAAAATCATACAATGTGATTTTCTGGATTTTTGTTTTAGATTCCTCACAGTTGAAGTGTACCTATGATAAAAATGACAGACCTCTACATGCGTTGTAAGTAGGAAAACCTGCAAAATCGGCAGTGTATCAAATACTTGTTCTCCCCACTGTATGTCCTACTATACACTTCCTGACAAAGCTCTAACCATAACAGTACGTCCTACTGTACACTTCCTGACAAAGCTCCAACTACAGTAGCTTTGACATTTGTGAACTGTCCATTCCAGCCATGTAAGGAAATAACACCTTCCATGTACCCCAATCCATAGACTTGTACATCAATTATGAGACAGTATAATACGTCTGTTGGCTGTAGAAAACTATGGGGGCCTACTGGTCAGTGTGACAGACAAATAGACATGTACAGTAACCATATTATACTGTCTGTCCACTTTCATAGTCCATGTGTAGCGAGACATGTCTGCATGTCCTAAGTATATTTTACCATACATACACTTATGTGCTGTCTGTGGTCCTCCGATCTCTGCATAGTACTGGTGTTCTCCATCTGACTCGGGTGGTTCAACCCTGAGCTGACCACTGGACTGCACTGAACAGGACAACTGCCAAGCTGATGTCCAGACACAAACTCACCAAAGGGATAAGTTTAGACTTAAAAGAGCCTATGATAAAGATAATTCATGAGTTTACAGAGATGTGTACCAACTCTTATTACATCCATGTATAGAGTGGGTGCCTGTTAAACAATGTGATTTAGTTTTAAAGCCTTACTCTTTTAGGTAGATATGAGCCACGTAACAATTCCCACCAAGTTGGTTAACCTTATTGGCGTGATGCGTAGGATGTTTACCTTTCGCTTCCCTGTCCCTCCGTTCTCTACACTGGTGTCAAAAGTGGGATGGTGGCCGTGAGGCCATCGGAACGCCTGGCAGTACGTGTGAGGGGGCTAATGTGGTCGAAGCACGGGACAGTGTAGCGATCCTCACCAATATGAGCCAACTTGCATTTACCACCAAATGGGTTAACCCTATCCGCATGATGCCATTCACGCCAGCGACACAAGGTTCGCTTCCAGGTGCCTCTGTACGCTACAATATCAAACCATGTGACATTACTTAAATATAACCATCAAGCTTCATGTCAGACTACAGTCCAGATGATGTATGCAGTGCAATATAATTAAGTCGTGTTTCGTTGAAACGAATACTTCTTAAATAACAAATGATTTATGGTTATAAGCCTACAAATACTTGTCTGAACTGGCTTCAAGACATGCTTTGGTAAATTACTCCCTGATAAAATAAAGGTTAAATAAAATATAAATGAAATGGAATCGTCACTGTACTTTCACCAGCTCTAAGACAGGGGAGTAGGATATAGGCAGTCACGAGAATGTCACACATTTGAAACCAATTGTATCCTATTTTCTAAAAATAAAGATAATTGATTATAAATGACTGCTCGAGACCAGCTGACGCAGTGTGCGTATCCTGTAACGCCTGCGCACTTGAGCACTTTCAAACAGCACCATCAACAGACGGAGGCACAAGCTGGCGTTTTGTTTACCTCCAAAAGAAGATCAAATTATCGCAACATGTCGGGATTTCACGAGAACCCCTTTGTAGATGCAGTGGAGGTCAATCCTTTCCAGGTGAGCAATTTATTTAGACCTAACTGCAAGCTCTGACTTGCGTTTTCCTTATGTGCCATTCTTCTAAACGCTGTAAAAGATATGCCGCAACAGAAACCTGTTTGTTTGGTTGCTGGGTTGGGCCTGGGTCTACTTCCTCGTTCAGATGAGAGAACGTAGCATGATTGACAATGTTGTGTGCCAGTCATTTTAGTAAATATATTTGGTAGGCCAATAAGGACACGTGTAATGTGTCCTATTAGCCTTTACCTAAGCAGGTTGCTAGGTCCCATTGACTTGTACAGGCCCCGTAGACTTGTATAGGCCCATAGATGGCTGGCTATCAACAACTTGTCCTTTTAGCCCCTCAATTAAAATTACTACTGGGAGCAAATTGTTTTAATATACTATTATCTTCCATTTATTGGCCTACACTTGTAAGAAGGTCAGAACGAATTTCCTACCAATAAAGATTGTTATGCGCCCGTAACAAATGCACCTGTCAAAATGACCTGTTCACTAGTGCAGCAACTCTGCCAACTAAGATAGCCCCCCTGCTATTCTCACTATTGTAGTTCTAGCCTAATGGACTATCCCCAATAGGTTTGCCTGGGATGTTATACCTGAAAGAACCAACTATCAGTCAAATAACCTGAGGGAAGTTGTTATTTCGTGTCTTTACTGTAAGAAAATATATTGTTGTCTCTGTAATACAGGATGCCTCAGTCACACAAATCACCAGCGGTGGGATTGAAACCGTTGAGGAATTCAACCCGTTCTCAGCCAGTGCTATGGTAAGATGAGCCAGGAGAAGTGGTGTAAACATACTTTAAAGTACTACTTAAGTAGTTTTTGGGGGTATCTGTACTTTACTATTTATATTTTAGACAACTTTTACTTTTACTCCATTACATTCCTAAAGAAAATAAATGTACTTTTTACTCCATACTTTTCCCCTGACACCCAAAAGTAGTCGTTACATTTCGAATGCTTAGCAGGACAGGACAATTGTCAAATTCACACACTTAACAAGAGAACATCCCTGGTCATCCCTACTGCCTCTGATCTGGCAGACTCACTAAACACATGCTTTGTTTGTAAATTATGTCTGAGTGTTGGAGTGTGCCCCTTGGCTATCTGTAAATAAACAAGAAAATCGTGCCGTCTGGTTTGCTTAATATAAGTATATTTTAGCAATTACGTTTACTTTTGATACTTAAGTACATTTCAAACCAAATACTTTTAGACTTTTACTCAAGTAGTATTTTGCTGGGTGACTTTCACTTTTACTTGAGTCATTTTCTATTAAGGTATCTTTTACTTTTACTCAAGTACGACAATTGGGTACTTTTTCCACCACTGGCCAGGAGGATATCACATGTATTCATTCAATGCATATTAATTTAATGTTGGCACAGTGACGTAATCATCTTCCTGAAAAGAAGCAAATACATCTGACAAACATCCAGAGGAAATATGTTGTTAAAGAATGCTGATTTGGGAGCGTCTTATGATGTGCTTGAGGCTTAATTTAATTTCAGACAAGAATTAAACGTGTGTGTGTGTGTTTCAGGGCACCCACACTGGGACCACCATCCCCATCTCTGCTGCCTCCTCCCAACCAGCTGTCCTACAGGCTTCTGCTGTGGAGCCCACCCCACAAGTGAGTGACAGAAACATGAATGAGGAGGAGGGAGGTTGGCAGCGTGGTACACGGACAATTTTAAACACAACAAGAACATCCTTTTTACTCTAGATATTGCTCAAAGATGAGTACAACACACTCTCGAATTCGCTGAACTCCTGAGTTGTTTGTGATGACTTTAAGTGGCTAAGAGAGGCCACATGTAGGCAAATCAATACCACATGATGATTATTTTGAATTTAAATAGACTGGTTAGCTGACAACGTCACGAAACGATGTGCGCGCTTCATTTGGGCAGAAGTCAGTGTGTTGTTGTGATTCTGGATGGCCAGTTAGCTAGCAATAATGACAAGAAACTGCCATGTGGGGAATCGTAAGTGGCTCGTTTCAGCTCGTTTCATCTTGTTCTTGATACCATGTCTTGAGGTGTTTTGACTGATTTCATGTCAATGCTAATAAGGCTAAAATTAGCTAGCTAGCTAACCAACAACTGAAACAATGTATTTGAGAGACAACAAGTGCTCATTGCGCAAATGTATTTATGTTTTCAATAAATATTGGAGACAAAATATAGTTTCCATGTTGTCAACAGTCGAAGCCAACACTGTCTGTTTTGCCCCATAGTTGTGCACGCCTCGGTTTTGTTGCTAAACAACCAACCCATCTATGAATTGATCTGAATCAGCACATTGAAACAAAGGTCAGAGATAACTGGAGAAGCATCCTTACCTGGTCATACTATTCAACGTTTTTTGCAAGGGCCCTGGTTTTGGTCCTACTTTACCTTAAGTGGACAAAGTAGTATTTACATAGTACTTTGTAATGACAGTGTAGTTTAGGTACACATTCTTCCAATTCTTCACTTGCATCATTTCCAAGTTACCTCACAATACAGAGATAAACTAATTGTTTTAGGGTTATGGGAGGTTTAGTTTGTTTAACCAAATGCATATGAAAACTCCACCGTGTAATAAACACATTGCAAGAGTTGTCAATATGGGTATAAATGATCTCTGCAAATGGGCAGTGTTATTGTGAAGGAACTTCTTCTTTTTAAATCTAATGCCAATGAATTATACCCATCAACTTGATGCATTGCAACCATTTTGTGCCAGAACACTCCATCTTGGTTCAAGATGGTTTGTAACACAGCTCTTTCTCATTGTCCACCAGGCGACTGCGGCTGCTGCCCAGGCTAACCTGCTCAGGCAACAGGAGGAGCTGGAGAAGAAAGCTGCTGAACTGGATCGGAAAGAGCAGGAGCTCCAGAACAGGCCTGGAGGCCCCATTAGTAAGTTACAGATTATGTCACTTGATTATGTTCAATTGAAATCTGTCTTGACCAAATGATTAATACAATAGTTGGTTAAACTGCCTTTAAATGGACTCCCTACTGTAGTGTTTTATCTTTCTAAATTACCTTGTACTTGTATTGCTTTGTCTGATTATGTACCTATGTAACTCTTCATGGCAATAAACAAGTACGACTCTTTATTTGACAGCGAAAGAAAACAACTGGCCGCCACTCCCCAAGTTTTGCCCCATAAAGCCTTGCTTCTACCAGGACTTCAACGAAGACATCCCTGAAGAGTACCAGAAGATCTGCAAGAGGATGTACTACCTTTGGATGTGTACGTACACCTCGCATCTTAAAGCTGCAATATGTAACTTTTGGGGCAAACCACCAAATTCACATAGAAATGTGAGTTATAGATCTGTCACTCATAAGAAGTGGTAGATCTGTTCTTTGTGTTCTATTTCTATGCTTCCTGTTCTTAAGTTTAGTTTTTGCGTCTTTTACTTTCAGTTTTGTACACCAGCTTCAAACAGCTGAAAAAACAATATTTTTGGTTATGGAAAATATATTTCACAGCGATTTAGATGGGACAATGATTCTCTACACTATACTTGTTTTGTCACAAAGACTGAAATGAGGCGAGCTATTACAATTTTTGCAACCAGGGATTGGCGGAGCGATTTCTCCATATTGCATCTTTTAATTGAGTAAGACTTTGTTCACGTTTTTTATGATATTGCATGCTTGTCAGTGACAACATTCAACAAACCCAAAGTAGTAGTCATAAGAGATTTGTCCCCAAGCTCCTCTCCAACACGGCACCAGTTTCTTCTAGTCTCACATTCATTTTGTTTTGCCTCTCCAGTTCACAGTGTCACTCTCTTCCTGAACTTTCTGGCCTGCCTGGCCTACTTCACGGCCGATCAAAACGCGGGGGTGGACTTTGGCCTGTCCATCCTCTGGTTCATCCTCTTCACCCCGGTCTCTTTCATCTGTTGGTACAGGCCAGTGTACAAAGCCTTCAGGCAAGTTCTTTGCTCAAATATTGTTCTACTTTTCTTTGAATAAAAGTGTTTGTATAAGTAACGTCCCTCGTGACGACAAAGGTGTTGCTAAAGTCAAAACAGACTGGAACCTCGGCTACTTAACACTGTAGAATGTCTTAATGTCTTAACTGCATTGTTGGTTTAGGGCTTGTAAGTAAGCATTTCACTGTAAGGTCTACACCTGTTGTATTCGGCGCATGTGACAAATACAATTTGACTTGAATTGATTTGAATTCCACATGACCTAAGTCGTTTTCTTGTGAAGTCCAAATGATATTTGCGGGTGATTTTGTTAACCCTTTGTCCTTGTTTCTTTCTGCAGGTCGGACAGTTCCTTCAGTTTCTTCTTCTTCTTCTTTGTTTTCTTCTTCCAAGTGTCTGTCTACGTGATCCAGTGTGTGGGGATCCCCAAGTGGGGGAACAGGTCAGTGGAACAACATGATACACTAGTGGGGATCCCCAAGTGGGGGAACAGGTCAGTGGAACAACATGATACACTAGTGGGGATCCCCAAGTGGGGGAACAGGTCAGTGGAACAACATGATACACTAGTGGGGATCCCCAAGTGGGGGAACAGGTCAGTGGAACAACATGATACACTAGATAGCACCTCAGGGATTCTTCTTCGTGTGAGTGAGAGAGATAAAGTGTTTGATGTGTATGTATTTGCGCACACAAGTACAGGTGTGTGTGTGTGTGTGTGTAATATGTACTGTGTGTTTGGGTGGGTGTAGGTCTCCCTTCACATCTTTGTGTGTGAGTGTGTACGTGTGTGTGCATTCGGTCCTGCATCTTCTCTCTTGCCATCTCTTTGACAGATCTCCTGCTGGCTAAACTGATGGTGTGCTCTTTGTCCTGGGGGCTACTTTGTAAGTGTGTGGCACTCTGCTCAGCTCTCTTACCTTTTTCACACTATCGTGTTGAACCAAACCAAATTGTGTTGGTGCAGCTATTTTATTTTCACATTGTTATTTTCAACACGATTCCAGTAACCAGGCCAGCTCAGTCCAGCTTGGTTTGGTTTGGCTTAGTAGTGTGAAAAGCCCTTCTGGCTCCTCAAACCTTTTGGTCTTTCTTCTTTTGTGAAGTATGCTTCACTGTCCCGTGTCGTCCTCAGTTATCATTCTCATCAACTTTGCCTGTCTGTTGGTCATCGTGTGGGTTTGTGAGTGTTTGATACATTTTTTCTGTCGACAAAGGGTTTTGTATGCCTCATTGATGTTGTGGGGCTATGGAATTTTTTTTCTGAAGCTGTAAATGAGGTGTTATTTGTCTTGTTTTCCAGTGGATGGATCTCGTCCATCACCATGATAAGAAGCAACGTGGCTGTAGCTGTGATCATGATGGTCGTGGCCGGCTGCTTCACTGTGAACGCTGTCCTCGCCATCATCCTACTCAAAATGGTAAAGTCAACTGTCCTTTTGGCTGTCTCAATCCTTCAAAACCGATTCAAACTTTATTGCAAAGTGTTGAGGTCATTATGGATAATACATCCACCCACCAAGGTCAATGCAGCCTGAAAAGGTTCAGAAGGCAAATAAATTCCCTTCAATAATCCCCTATTTATTGACCCTTGACCCTATTTATTGACCCCTGCCTTCTCCCCTTTCTCAGGTCCACTCCAAGTACCGTCGGACGGGGGCCAACTTCGCCAAGGCCCAGCAGGAGTTCTCTTCGGGGGTCCTCACCAACCAGACCTTTCAGAGCGCCGCGGCCAGCGCTGCCTCTTCAGCCGCCCAGGGGGCCTTTCAAGGACGCTAGGGATCCTAAAGCCACAGGGCCAGGTTCTTCCTAACCTCCCTAGCCACCTCTCACTCACTCCAAGCCCCATTTTGTCCCATTGCCCCAGTGTCTCTGCAGAGGCAACAGAAATGGCTGACAAGGCAGAAACAAGACTGGTATACAGGCACATTACAATGTTCCACTATATCATGAACATTCTCTAACCACAGCCATTGGTACATAAACCCAAACCCAATTCAACCTTTAGCCCCACCCTCTACCTCCTTGGCAAATGAGTAGATCTGAAAGGATTGGAAATGTGTATTCAACGTGGTGGAAACTCCACTTAGCTGATCAGAGGGTAAAATGGAGCTGTTACTATGTTGATTAAACTTATCCAAATGTCTAGGTGGTAGGAGGGTTGGATTGAGGTGCCTAGGTGGTAGGAGGGTTGGATTGGGGTGTCTAGGTTGTAGGGGGCTAGGGTTGGTTTGGGATTGGGTTGCCTAGGTGGTAGGGGGGTTGGGTTGGTTTGGGATTGGGCACCAGAGTTCGGCAAAGTGTCCTCCATGTTGGTACCAAACATTCCATGACAATAAGGTGAATTTTCATTCTAAGTGGAATGCGACACGTTAAGAAAGCGAATGCGTAATCTGTCTTGCTCGTCTCCTGTAGCTTTGAATGCAGTATGTTACTAGCGAATAAGGAATGCTCTCCCTAGAATAATTTACGATGTCATTTTAATCCTCAATAGAATGAAGTAGTTTGGTACCAGCATGGTGCTTATCATCATAAAAACACAATCTCAAATTGAGTTTTTTTTAAATGTATTTTCTATTCAGTATATCCATTTCTCTGTTCAACAGTCCCATACTCTAGTCTTTACCATGATAGGTTCTCTTCCCCCTTCCTCTACTGCCCCTATCCAGACACTCAGGTCCTCTTCTCAGGCCTGTATACTGTACCTTTAACTCTAGTCGCCGAGAGCCACTAGTTAGTGCAGGGTGCCGTTCTGTCCTAACACTAACACACACGTTTCAAATACTCACCTTATGGTCTTCGGTCTCCACCTTTTGATGATTTGAATCCGGTGTGTTGGTGCTGGGCTGGAACAACGCCTGCGTATCAAGTGGCTGTCCAAGAATGAAGTTGGAGACCCTTGTATTAAAAGGGTTTGGGTACAAAAACGGTACTGAAGTGGGCATCTGAGGTAAAAACACTGAAATGTCAAAATGTCTACTGAAGGAATTATTACGTTTATTTTGTGAAGTTTCCATTGAGGTTGTTTATGTTTATTTTTGCTCTGATAATATATTGAAGGGATGAATGGTTTTATTTTCCTTTAGATGTTTTTGTGATTTTTCATATTTTACTCTTCTTCAATCCCTCAGTAGGGTTGGACTTGCTGAAGTATGATATTAAGGCAACTGCTGTGTTTTTGTAGATAAGATAATGAAGATATTGGGTGATGGTTGAACTAAATGGGAATTACTGTATACCCACCCCCTGTATCCCTCCTACTGTACTTTAAAGGAACTGTCCAATGAAAATCTAACTTTTAAAAGTTCATATTCTGTTAACTCATACCCAAATAATGTTGTTGACTCATCCTATACTCATATTTGTGGCAAAAGCATAAATTGGAGACAAAACGGTTTAAAAAATGCTTGTTACTTCCTCAGAGGAGGATGAGCTGGCCAATCAGTGGTCTAGAGGAGGATGAGCTGGCCAATCAGTAGTCTAGTCGCAGTAATATTTTTAATGACCGGTATACGCCCACACCATTCCAACATAGAAAAGCTGCTTTTTATCATATTTATTTATTTTTAAATTGGAAGGAAAACTATTTGTCATATTGTGAATAATTATAGGTCATATTTCATAGAAATCTTTAAACACCGGACAGTTACTTTAATGAACATAGAACCACTACATTTTGGAGTTGGTGGCTTTGGTATTATGAGGTCAGGACAGGTGGGATCTTTTCTTACAGATCAGACAAAGGACTCTAGTTAGTCTTAAGTTGACACTTAATTCTTCTTTCTTTATGAATGAGATCTAGACCACTCAATGTGGGTACTGTGGCATGTTCATAGAAATTGCTGGAAGATTGAATGTATTTAGTGCTAGAATGAACATGTGAATGTAACATAGGTACCGCAATGTGAGAATGAGTGAGTGAATGGTGGAATGAGCTGACAGGACAAAAAAATGAATGCATGATTGACTAATTACATGAAGATCTAAATGTATTAATGAATAGTTAGTTATTGATTGGGGATATGTGCCTGAAGTAAAGTTCTGTACAATAACCCTAAAGATTGCAGTATACCAAGTCACGACTTCTAATACAGCAACGATCAAAAACAGATTTACATTCTTGGTTTTAGTTGTTGGGTAGTAGTCACCACACCAGGCATTTTTTTTAAATGTACGGTTACTCTACACTTTTTCTGAAATGTCACAATATGCTCTCTACTGGACATTGGTCTTGCTACACTACCACTGTTTGTTCCTGATATGTCAACTCTCAGATGTTATGTAGCTGACACTGGTTTACTGGGATTTCTTTTTGAGCCTAAAACTCACTGAGACCAGACACTTTTTTTTTTTTTTTTTACATGACTTTAAATGAGCCTCACCTTCTGCCTGTTAACTACCATGATGATGTTCTGAATGTTCTGAATGTGTGTTTTGAATGTTCTGAATGTGTGTTTTGAATGTTCTGAATATGTGTTCTGAATGTTCTGAATGTGTGTTCTGAATGTTCTGAATGTGTGTTTTGAATGTTTGTCCAGATACTTATGTATTGTTCTATTGGGTACTGTATTGTAACTGGGTGTTATCTAGCAAAGGGGTGTCCAGCCCTTCTTCTGGAGAGCTACTGGGTGTCCAGCCCTTCTTCTGTAGAGCTAATGGGTGTACGGGCTTTTGCTTTAGCCCTGCTCTAACACCTGATTCAGCTACTCAACTGCTCATCAGGGCCTTGCATGATTAGCTGATAGCAGACAATAGGCAGCTGATCAGTAGAATCAAGTAGGGATGGAATGAAAGCCTGCACAGTGCACACCTAGTAGCTCTCCAGGATGGCTGGCCTCCTGGAGGTCAAGGGTCAAATCTGTTTGTCACTGTACATATGTCTGAGGGATTTTTAAGATGTATCTCTGAAGTAATTTATAGATTTATTGTTACTGCTATTATTTAATAAATGGATGCATTTCTTTGCTCTCTTGAATGTCAAAGGTTCTGGATTTTTTTTAATGTATAACTACAAAAAAGGCACATGCCCAGGCTTTCCGTCCGCCTGTGGGGCGTTCAACTGCTGTCGGAACTAGGAAAGTCGTTGTAGAAAGATGCTACCCGACTTTGCCACTTGGAAAGTATCAGAATCAACCAATAGGAAGCTCTACGCAAATAACTTAAGTTAATTTGAACTCTGAGTCGGCGGTTCCTAGTTTCCGACTTGTCATGAATGTGCCAACGGGACTACATGTCGTAGTAGGGGGACGATGTATCCCCGCCTTGCTCTCTCGCGCGATTTGGGGACGCTTGGCTCCTGATTGAACCATTTGTATCTTCTTAGGGGTTATACAGCAGCATGCAGCCCCACTTCTATCATGCATCATTACTACCACCTATTGTACTTAAACTAGCTAATCCATCAACAGTCACATTTAGTCAGTGCACAGAAAATAACTTATCTATAGAATTAATAATACGAGTTATGTGGCTATCTGACAGCACAACGCAGGGAAAAAAATAACACTGTTGCCAATTACACTGACATTACAGTCTTGGTGGAAACAACAAAAACTAGCAGTTTAATGTAAACTAACGTAACAGTATTAAGACCATTTTTTTAAAGCAAACATAACCAAGAGTTCAAAAGTTGTGCAGGTTATAACCAAAAATATTAACGTGATTCAAGCGTTGCAATAGGAAAAACGTAGTCCCATATAATTTTTGCATTCAAACAGGTTGATTATAACAGTCAGGAGGAACGTTTGGACTGATCTAGAAAAGCTATTTTCTACTGCCGTTTCATGCCAGCATGATAGCTGTACTGTTCGTTTATGGTTGACCTCGGTACTTAGCCGTTGGCATTAGCAACAAGTTCAAAGTACGTGAATGCATGCAACTCGATGCACTGAGTTTACAAGTCATATTTCCGAACACTCCGAGAGGTCGAGAACATGGCATTACATCCAACAAAGCTGTGGCCTCCAGGGACACAATGCTTTATGGGTGATGCAGTCCCTCTTCACAAATCAGTCTGTTTCCTGTGACCTCACTTCTACTGTGTCTGGTGAAGTCTGTTCTGGTAAAGATCCAGGTCAATCATCCCATGGTGTGGAGTTTAAAGACAACCAGTATCTCCCTCTAGTATGGCAAGCAGGAAATCTGTTAAAGAAATAAGTAGCAAAACTAAAGAGTTGATCACAGTGACAAACATGTTCCAACAAAAACTGGAATAATTAGTTATACTTGTCAATAACCTACAATCTATTGTCTGTTCAATGTTAACACATAAGTTAGAGATATTTACAGTATGTGCTTGAGGTTAATCTACCTGGTTATATGACTCTCTGCTCCTGTCACCCAAAGGGTGTATGAAATATATTCTGTTACAAAATGATGAGCTCACCTTATCTTGACTGAGAAGACTCCTTCTCAAGTGGACACGCCTCTGCTCCTGACATACTGTAGATGGCGTCTTTCTCCACCACTAGATGAGGAATTACAGTAATATAAGCAGGGATGAAAAGGTCAAAACAAGTATTTCATCAATTATTTGACTAATCTGTGACTAAAAAGATTGACAACAACAAACCATTAGGGCTTTGAGGTTTTCACTTGTGAAGAGTTGAAACAGTTCAGTCCAACAAAGAGTAGGGACAATAACACCATGCAGATTTAGCGACACTGCTGCTGGAAAGACATTAGCATCACCTGTGAAAACTTGTGTATGACGTTATCAGAACAAGCAATTACAATTAGCCTACATTCATTACAAGTTGAAGTTGACGTCATTGGAACTT